CCTCCACAGCACGGCCCCCCCATCCCCGGGAGGCCAGGCCACACGGTCACCACTGCTGCTGGGACAGGCCCCAGTGCCTGGCAAGCGACAGCCTCACCCTAGGCTCCCTGGCGGTCTGCAGTTAGCCCAGCTACTGACCACAGCATTCCTGGGCTCGGCTTTGCCATCAGCGGAGATAACTCGGCCCCCTCGTCCATGAATCATGAACTATAAACCACTGGGCCGCCACCCAACGCTCGGAGCCGGCCCAGCGTCGGACAGTGATTCACCTCAAGGAGAGGACGCTCGGGCCACAGCCCAGAACACGGGTTCACCAGCCGCTCAGGCTGAATCTCCGGGCGCAGGGGCCAGGAGACGGGGGCTCAGCCCTCGCCGGCCAAGGCTCAGGCGTAAGGGCTCCGGGGTGTGAGCACAAAGGGGCTGTCACCCCAAACGTTTATGGCGGGGCCTGCATCTTCCTCTATCAGAATACGAAGAGGCCTCCACAAAGTTCACAGCCCCCTGCTTTAAAGAAGCAAGCCACCCTGGTGGTCCAGGCAGGGCTCCCCGGCCCCCAGACGGCGCAGGGCCAGGCGGCATCGCAGGGCACGCTGGGACGGGCCTTGTCTCTGGGGCAGGGCGGAGGTGAGGGGTTGTCACCTGTCTGGGTGTGGGGACCCTGTACTGCGCGTGCTGTGGCTGAGCATTTGGTCAGGTCATGAGCACTGCAAAGGGCGGTTTGCAAATATGCAGGATTTGTCCCCCCGGACAGACTGGCCAGGTCCCCTTCCAGAGCGGACATGGCTGTCCCAGCCACAGAGAGTGCCCTCAGCTGTCCAGGGCCTGTGGCCCGAGACCCGGCCCTCGCAGCCCCCCCCCAAAGACCTCGAAGGCCATCCCAGCTCCAAAGCACCCTGCTGGCCAGTCAGGGCTCCAGTGAGCCTGCACTAGGCCTCGGTTTCCCCTTGTCACCTTCCTCTATCCTCGGGGCGTCCCTGGGGCCCTCCCCAGTAAGCCTCCTGCAGGCTGAGGTTCTGAGAGATCCCGGCCCAGCGCATCAGCACGGCCAGGGCGCCAGTGAGAAAGGCAGGCTCCCCGCCCCCCAAGGATGCCGTCCAGGCTCCGCGATTCCCCGGCCCTCCTGGGGAGAGTGTGGGAGCTTCCGCTGGGTGCCAGCAATGCCTCAGGGCTGGGACTCAGGGTCACCGCTCTGACCCTGGAGGGCACAGCCCGAGGACAGGCCGGTGGTGGTGGGAGGAGGAAGACGGTGTTCAGGGAGGATCAATTCCCACTGTCAGCACACCATGCTCTTCTGCTCTGGGACCCGGCGTGTGAGCCTGGAGCCCGCTTGTCACCCCCGGTTCAGTCCCACGGAGGCAGGGACGGCAAGGAGGGAGCACGAGGAGTCATGGGGCACCCCGCCGGGCGAGGAGGCAGCAGCTCAGGAAGGGCACCTGGGCCCGGCCACGCAGCCTGGAGGGTGGCGCTGTGCCCCCCCTGTCGGCACCTGGGCAGCCGCCCTGCGCGTCCACCTCGGCAGCTCTTCACCGGGACAGTCTGCGAGGTGACAGGCGGGCCCCGCCTCGCCTCCGACTTTGTGGGTGGCAGAGCACGGGCGCCTCCTTTCTCCATCCGGGGCACCCCAGCCTGGGCCACCACAGCTTGAGTGGAAGACGAAATCTCTCTGGAGAAGCCCACGAACTCAGCATCACAGGGGCCATGGCTAATCCAGGGCAGCTCGGACAGGAAGAGGAAACAAAAGCGTCTGTGCTATAAATAACACTCCCGTGCTCTGCCTGGCGGGTCTGGCTCGGCGCTTAGAGCGTCGTCCCGCAGACCAGAGTCGCGGGTTCGACTGCGGTCAAGGGCACGCACCTCGGCTGCGATTCAATTCCTGGTCCTGGTTGGGGTCGTGCGGGAGGCAACCAACTGGTGTGTATCTATCATATCAATGTCTCTCTCTCCCCCTCCTTCCCGCTCTATCTGATAGAAATCAGTAGAAAATGCCCAGCTGGTGTGGCTCAGTGGTTGAGCGTCGACCCTGCACCAAGAGGTCGCCGGTTCGATTCCCGGTCAGGGCACATGCCCAGGTTGTGGGCCTGATCCCCAGCGTGGGGCATGCAGGAGGCGGCCAATCGATGTTCTCTCTCATCGATGTTTCTATCTCTCTCTTCCTCTCCCTTCCTCTCTCTCTAAAATCGATAAAGAAAAAAAATGCCATGTTCCCCAGTGCCCTAAACCACACAATCCCTCCCTTTTTTAAAAATCCTCACCCGAGGATACTTCTCCATTTATCTTCCGATAGAGTGGGAGGGGGAGGGGGAGAGAGAGAGAGAGAGAGAGAGAGACATACACTGGCTGCCTCCCACACAACCCCAACCCCAACCAGGGCCGGAAACCGAACCGCAACCGAGGTCCGTGCCCTTGACCGGAATCAAACCTGCAACTCTTCGGTCTAACCACGGAGCCAAGCCGGCCAGGCCACCATCCCTTCCTTTCCTCTTGCCCTCGTCCTCCCACAACCTAACTCAGAGGTCTTATACGGGAGCTGAGGGCAGACTTCAAGAGCAAAGTTGAGTTGTTGGGCCTACACAGTGTTTTACTGGTGCTTTTGAGGCAATTTCATATAAACCAGATCCCCAGCCGGCTCGTCATAAAAATCGGAAGGTACAGGGCCACGTGGCCAAGAGTCAGGGGGAGCTGACACGCGGCGCAATCTCTCCAGTTAGCCGCAGGCCTCACCAACCCCTACTGCCTCCACGGACACAGTGAGCTGCCCTACGTCATCCTGTTGCACCTGTCTTCCCCACAGAGTAGAGAAACACCTATTTGCTCATCCGATGTGAGCAAGTCAAAGGGGGTCTCCTGACTTTTCCCCATTCCTTCATTCAAGACCCTGGAAGGTACTGGGACCCCTGTTCCGAAGACTCGGAGGGCACTGGGCTCTCTCAGGCCCCGAGCCTTTGTACCTGCTGTTCCCTCTGCCCGGGACACCCTCACTTCCATCATCTTGGGGTCCCTGCCTCTGTGGAGGCGCTCAGGCAGATCCAGTGCTGTCCTGGAGCTGCCCACTGTACCTGGTCTCTCAGCCAGCACGCCCAGCACTCCAATGCCCAATAGACAGAGGAGCCAACAAGCAAGGCCTGGACACCACAGAGTGAAAGGCATGGCGGCCAGGAGACACAGGGCACTTACACCCCCCACCCCCAGGACTCCTCGGGGGCCGTCTCCCTCCTAAATGACGTCCACACAGGCTCTGCCTCCCGCATGCGACAGGGCTCTCGGCACAGGGCGAGGAGCCGATGGGCCCCATCTATCCCCTTTCCTCTGCAGAGCCCCAGGAAGGCCTCAGGAGCCCACCCCAGTGCCCCCACAAAGATGGGGAGGGCCTGGCAAGACCAGCGAGAGAACTGACACAGGCAGATACTCAACAAACACCTGACAATGAGCCTTTCCCTCTCCCTCTATTTGGCCCCAGTCCCCACTAGTCCCGACTGCCTCTCCTGCCTCCGCCTAGTGACGCTTCCTGCCTGCCATTTATTTGCTCTGCTGCCTCTCGGTCTGGAATGTTCCTGAACACACTTTGGTTTCCAAAACCAGCTAAGTCTTCAGAATGAAGACGCTCCAAGCCAGCAAGGCCTCAGGTCATACACCTGTCGGGGGGCAAGCAGGCTGGCCAACTGTGTCTACACAGACAGAGGGGAAAACCGCGGCCGCCAGGCAAACGGGCCACCCGTTGAGGATCCAGACCAAGGAGGCCCGGCGCTCCGTCTCAATCACGCAGCGAGGGCTTGTTTGATCCGTCGACAGACTTGTTTCCCTACTCACCCGCGGTTTAACCGACGGGAAAGGGGACCCCGTTCCTGAAGCTGAGTTCCCGGAAAACGAGAGACAAGGGATTCGGGTCAGAAAGCCGCGTGGACTGACCCGTCACAGGCTGTGGAACTTGATCACTGAGTGGCTGCTTCACAGTGGACACCGGGACCCCCTGGTGATGGCTGAACTTGATCCGGGGCTCAGGGTGCTTCCCAGATGACTCCAGCGCCAGGGGGAACCCACCTAAGGAAACCTCAGGGTCCTATCACCCCAGCTCATGCACCGCTGGCCTTCGTCACACTACCCTGCGCTCCGAGGCCACAGTGCCCCGAGGGAAGGACGCATCTCAACCAGCTCCCGTCCAGCATCCAACAGCGGCACCCAATGCCCTCTGCAGTGTCGGCCCAAATTCCCCGCCTCCTCCCGCCGGGTGCTCCCAGCATCACGGCCCAGGGCCCACGCTCAACAGCCCGGAAGTCGGGCAAATCCATTCCCTCCCCTCAGCTCCCAAACACCAAACACTCAGGATCCCACTTGGACAAGTGCCAGTGACCTCATCCTCTTCACCATCATCCACTGAATATTTTTTTTCAACCAACTCCTTTTTCTTTTAACTCAGAGGTCAACAGACTCTTCTGTAAAAATCCAGAGAGAAAAGGTTCTAGGCTTTGCAGTGTGGGTCGACTACGCACCGCGGCTGTTGCCACGGAAATATGTAAATGAACGGGCGCGGCTATGTGCCAATAAAACTTGATTCACAAAAGTAGATGGCGGGCCAGAGTCCGCCAAGCGCTACTCTGACTTAAATAATCCTTCAGTCTCCCCCTACGCCGTAAAGTCTGAAAAGTCACAGGTTGACGACGCACTGGCTGGTCTTTCTTTCAAATACGCACTAAAGTAAACACACAAAACTAGTAAGTTTTCAAATGTGAGGTTTGTGGGCCAGCCCACATCAGCCTAAGAACCCGGCCCTCGCTCCGAGAACGTAGCCTGTTAACCACGGGGACGATGGGTCACCACGCTGAGTTCTAGAATTTTCTGGGCTGAGAAATGGCCATTTCTCCTCGCTCTGTTGTCTGCTGCTGGGGACAGCCAAAGGCCCCCAGAGAGTGTCCCAGCCACCACTGAGGGGGGCCGAATGGAGGGAGCCCGAGGCTGAGCATGCTGGGAACCGATCCCCAGCCCGGCCCCGCCCCACCCCTCACCTGGCTCTTCCCGCGGCGCCGGTAGCTCCGCCTCACCAGGCTCTTGTAGTTCTCATTCTTCTTGGTCAGGTAGTAATAGAGGACACACTCGGCCACGGTCTGCGGGCGGGAGAGAGCGCTGAGTGCAGTGTGGGCGGTCAGAGCGGGCGGCCGGAGCCGCCGGCCTGGGTTCAAATCCCGCCTCTTCCCCGTCCTGGCTATGTGACCCTGGCCAGGCTACCTGACCCGTCTCAGTTTTCCCACCTGTCAAACGGGGATACTAACAGCACAAACTTCAGCGTTGTTGTCAAGATCCAGGAAGTTAATAAGCACCCAGGACAGTGCCCGGCACTGAGGGCACATGACGGAGGTGTCACCTGTTCTGACCGTCGCTGCTGCTACCGCTGATGACAAAGCTGCCACCCCGGCCCCAGGACAAGCCTCCAGCTCCCAGCTGGGCAAATTCAGGCCCCCGACCTGGGTCTGGGGTCTCCTTCCTCTCACCCCGGCCTGGACAACCACTCCCAAGCTTGGTGCGTCCAGACTGACTGACATCCCCACGAAACTCTTCATCTCCTGAAATGTCTGCATCTTTTCTCTGCCTCGGCCTCATCCATGTGGACCTGGATCACCAGCTTCCCCCACCTGGGGCCGCTGTGGGCACCGCCCTACCAGCCTCAGGGTGGCACAGAGGGGGCTTTACTGAGTCTCTCTGCCAAGAGGGAGCTGGAGCAAGAAGGGACGCTGCCCCAGGCTGACTGGGGCCAAGGTGGGGTTCGAGGGTCAGTGCTGCGGGCAGGTGTGTCTGAGGGGACAGGGACTCGCCAGCCTGCCTGGCTTGGCACGAGGTGGCGGCATCAGGTGGGCATCAGAGGAACAAGGTAGGTCATTACATCCAGCCCCTGAAAGAACACCACTCTGGCCCATAAAGCCCTAATGAGGACACCTTGGCTTCCAGAAGCTGTGCCCAATCCGCGAGGGCGCTGGAGGACGCTGGCGGCCACGCAGGAGGCGCCGGTCCAGACACCCAGAGCGGCTCTCCTGGGTTTCCCAGCCGGGAGCTCCGCCCCCTGAGCCCAGGAAGCTGGGGCGGGGCCTGTGGCTGCTTCTCCCAGACGAGAAGGGCAGTGTTGGCAGAGGACGGCGAGGGGCTGGTGGGCACAGGCCTCGCGGGTGTGGGGGGGCGTCGCCCCAGCCCGGTGGCTGCCATGGGAGTGAACGCCAGTGGGGCGCGGGGCGGGGCGGCGGGGCAGGCGGGGCACGACTCACCTTCCTCTCCAGGAAAGATGCGATCAGACCGAAGTTCTTGGGGTGCTGCATGAACCTGTGGGGAGAGAGCGGTGGGCCTGAGACCAGGCCGACGGGGGCTGCCCAGCTGGGTGGCCACTGCGCTCCCGGGCGCCTGCCATCCGCTGGCCCAGCCGGCTGGGCACCGCCCCACTCGGAGCAATTAAGCCCAGGGGGGTGTGGGAAGGGCTGGGCGGGCGGGCCAAGGGCTAAGAGAGGGCGTTCCTTGGAGTGAGTCACTCGTTTTAGCGCCTTTGAAAATATATTTGTTTGTCCTGCTGGAGGCGGCTTCCAGGAAAAATGAGGACATGGCATTCGGCTCTTTGGTGGAGTCCCCCCCTTTCAAAATCTGCTTTTGTTTCTATCTCCAGCTGGGCCTGGGAAGCTGGCCTGGCCTGGCCCACGCGCCCCCCCCTCCCCCAGCCCGCGAGGCCACAGGTCAGGTCTCCAGTGCTCTGAGCGCCCTCGGGGAGGCGGCAGGAGGCAGCAAGAAGGGACTGAAGCCAGAGGGTGGCGGGGAGCTGGCACCCCACCAACTGGCTTCCTGCAAAGCCGGGAGAGTTACTGGGAAAGAGCTCAGCCCGGCTGAAATGTCAGGGCCACAGGAGCAGGCGGACAGCAGGGGCGGGGATGTGGGTCAGGGCTGTTCAGGCTTCAAGGATGCTGGGCGGAGGCGGTGCCCTGGCCCCGCCGCCTCCGCAAGAAAGGAAGAGGCTGCTGGAGAGGCAGGGCCCTGGGTCTCCTGGAGGGAGCCTGGGCCAGCGCCTGGCACTCCAGATGGCTGGGCGGAGGCCAGCGGGCCCCTCCCCTGCTCCCGAACCAGACACCGGAAAATCCGGAATGGCCTCTTCTCTTTTCCCAGAGGAAGGCAGGAGTGGTGGCGGGCTTCCCCGCCGGAGACCCTGCCTCAGGCCACTTGCGAAGCCAGAGTGGGCGGAACGCCCTTCTTTTCCAGATAGGCAGGCTTCCTTCCCTCCCTCTCCGGGTGCGGGGGTTCCCCAAGCAGACCTGGGCCCCTGGGAGAAGAGGCACCGAGCTTGGAAATCTCCTAGGTCACCGGCCCGCCTCCCCTCAACTGGGATTTGTACCCTCAGCTGACCATCCCTGGGCACTGTGCCTGGGCACCTGGCGACAGCGGAACAGTGAGGCACTACTGCTGACCCAGTTTACAGAGGTGGAAACTGAGGCTCAGAGAGGACGTGGCGGCGCGCAATGCCACCCACGCACGATTTTCCAAGGTCCTGAGCGCTACCAACCCTGCTGAAAATGAGACCTAAACCAGGGCCATGCTGCGTCGAATGGGCCCGCAGACATCCGCCCAGCCGGACCCCTGCCTGTGAGTTCAGTGTGAGACCACTAGGTCCCGGACAGCAATACGACATCTCCGCAAAGGCTGAAACACAGAGAGCGCCCAGAAACACCCCTTTCTTTCTCTAAGGTAACATAAATCCATAAAAACACCAAACACACCAGGAGGATTTAAATACCTAATGCGCCCTGGCCGGTTTGGCTCAGCGGTTAGAGCATCAGCCTGCGGTCCTGAGAGACCCGGGTTCGGTTCCCGCTAAGGACATGTACCTTGGTTGCAGTTTGTCCCCGGCCCTGGTCGGTTGTGCGGGTGGCAGCCACTCAATGTGTCCCTTTCACATCGATGTTTCTCTCTCTCTCTCTCTTCCTCTCTCTCCCTCCCACTCTACCTGAACAAAAAAAAAAAAAAAAATGTCCTCGGGTGAGGATAAAAAAAAACAAAAAAACAAAAAAAAAAACAAAAAAAAATAAATACCTAATGCAACATTAAGTCTTCGGACCCTTGACTATTCCATAGTCACTTCACTGGCTGGAAAGTGTGCCATCCCTGGATGATGGAGCGATCGTCTCTGTGAATGTGGGGGCCTAGCGGGAGCCACCCAGGACCTGGGCTTGTCTGTTTCTGAGCTTAAACCTTAAACACCCGGCGGGATCTGCTCCCCACGGCACTACTGCCTGTGGGAGTCAGCTGAACTGGTGTGACCTGGGACCCTGCTCCTCCTGCACGGTCAAGTCCTGGCGTCTGCACTGGCTACCCTGCCCCAGCCCCCGACCCTGGGAAGGGCAGAGGCTGCCCCAGGCCCAGCCCTATGTCTTGAAGAAACTCACCAGCCCATGAGGCCTGCTCCTGAGGCTCAGGTAGAGGCGGAGGCCAGCCGCTGGGCGGGCAGCGTCTGTTTCCAACACACCTCCTGTCGGAGCACCGAGGCGACCATCTGTGCCTCAGTTTCCCCCCCTCCTGCCTCACGGGGGTCTGGAGGAGGCACCCTGTTGGTATTTGGAGGGGAAGGTTTTTCCCCTCCAGCTCCCCCAAATGCTGTCAATTCTGCTTTTACATTTTTATGCCTCGGCATCCAGCTCCTGTCTCTGCTTCCAAAGTCCTGCTCCCTGACTCTGGGGGAGCACAAATCCTGCCCCTGCCATTTCCAAGCTGTGTGGCCTCTGTTAACCGCCTTCACCTCTCTGAGCCTGTTTCCGCACTTACGCAGCGGGGCTGGTGCTGCTGTTACGAGAGAAGGGAAAACGCACAAGACCTAGCAATCACTGGCACAGGGTCTGGGAAGGCGCGCTCCACGAATCCCCGTTTTCAAAGCAAAATGAGAACAGGAAAGTCAGGGGCCGGCTTCGTTCCCCTGCCCCAGACGGCGGCCCCACCCCGGAGATCTCCCTGCCGGCTGTGTGTTCGGATACGCGCCGCCGTCTGTACACCTTGTCCTGGGTTGCAGTGTCCCCACAGCTCCTGTCTACAGAGCCTCAGAGGGAGGCGTGATTTGGAAATGAGTCCTTCACAGATGCAGTGAGTTAAGATAAGGTCATACTGGAGGAGGGTGGGCCCCACATCCAATAGGAGAGGAGCCTTCCGAAGAAGATAGAAACACAGAAAAAAAGCCAAAAACAAAGACCAAACATGTGAAGACAAACAGTGGAGGCGGAATGACCCAGCTGCAAGTCAAGGGGGTGACGGAGACGGAGGGGGTCCTGGGAAGCCAGGGCCAGTCCCGCCGACACCTGAGCGTGGACTCTGGCCCCTCACGACCCGTTCCCACGCTCAGCCGCCCGTCGGCGGCCGCTGTCGCGGAGCAGGGCAGGGCACTCACTTCTCCCGGAAGGTCTCCTTCTCCTGCTCGCTCCACATGTTCATGACCTGGCGGTCCTTGTACACCTTCATGGGGTCGTCCATGAGCCCGTTCATGTTGATGAACTTGATGCGCTGCTGGTCGGCGTCATACAGCATGGGCGGGATCACGGCCAGCTGCCGCATCTGCTTCTCCAGGCTCTGCGGGGGGCGGGGGTGCAAGGGGTGGGTCAGAGAGAGAGACCGGGGGCGCCCCGCGCACTGGGGACCCAGGCCGCGTGGGGAGGGAGCGGGTGTTCGGAGCGAGAGCGGGGAACACGCGAGACTGTAGGGAAAGAGAATGAGTGAAGAAGTAGTAACAGCCTGTGCCGGGGTGGGGGTGGGGGTGGGGAGGACTTCAAGGCAGCCCAACACATGTACGTGGGCAGGACTTAGATCAGGTGGGCGGAGCAGCTGTTGCCCGTCGGCCCCCGGGGGAGGGGAGAGGGGAGCGATGACCCGTCCACGGGAAACAGGCACCACGGAACACCGCAGGGCGATGTGGGGGCACCGGGGCGAAGGAGCTCGGGAGGCGGGCCTGGCCACGCGGGCGGGGCTGCGGGGGGACGGCAGAACCACCTGCTGCCCAGGCCTGGGGTGCAGCCCCCCGGCGTGCCCAGCCCGTGCCTTGTGGGAGTCGCCCATGATGCATCAGGGCAGCCCTTAGCCACCCCCAGCTGGGCTCATGTCCCCAAATGTCTGCAGCTGCCCGTGACTGGCCATTAATCACCCACCTCTGGGGGCAGGTGAAGACCCAGCCAGGCTAAGGTCAGCTAAGTTCAAAGGACCCCCAGCCTGCCTCCTATATCCGACCTCTATGCAGTGCTGGGAGGGCCGGCGGGGGCGGGGCGTCAGTCCTGACCCAGCGGGGAGAAGGAGCCCAGAGGTTTGAACCTCCCCAGCGTCGCAGCAGGCGTCCAATGTCCTCTCCTCCCCAGCTGCCCGAGAATACTGGCGGGACACAGCCGTGGTCACAGGCACCGGCAAGACCCCTGCTCTGCCTCCCAGGGAGCCTGAGGTCGGCCTGGGCTGGTGAGGTGGTTCAAGGTTCTGGACACTGTTACCTCACACCCCTGAGACGCCAGGACGTGGGGACACTGTCAGGCCAGATGTCCCAGGCAGGGGACCCACGGGGAAGGGGCTCCCTCCTCAGGCGTCCAGGGTGAACCAAGCCCCTCGGTGCTGCTGTGCACCCAGTTCCTGGCTGCAGCCTCGGGGCGGGCGCTGGGGTGGCTGTGGGCAAAGGCACCCAGAGTTCTGCTTTCTGTCGACAGAACCGTGTTTGACACAGGGACGCATCATGCCGAGTTTTCAAACAAAGGCTCTGCCCTGGCCGGTGTGGCCCAGCGGTTAGAGCGTCGGCCCGCGGACCAGAGTCCAGGTTCGGTTCCCGCTAAGGGCATGTACCTCGGTTGCAGTTTGTCCCCGGCCCTGGTTGGGTCGTGTGGGTGGCAACCAGTCAGTGTGTCTCTCTCACATCAATGTTTCTCTCTCTTCCTCTCTCTCCCTCCCACTCTATCTGAAGATAAATGGAAAAATGTCCTCGGGTGAGGATACGAAAATAAAAATAAATAAGTTAAAAAAAAAAGGCTCTTTTTTACTGGCCAGAGGGTGAGTGACCTGTCGGAATGACGTGGACGGCTGGTAAAACCACAGGGTCCTGGGCTCCGCCCCGGGTTGGCTGAATCAGAACCGCCGGAGTGGGGGTGGAGCCAAGGAAACCATTTACACCAGACCCCCTGACCCCGGGACTCGGCTGTCCCAAGCAGCACCGTCCGGGTGAACAGTCCGTCTGTTCTGTCCAGCGTGGGAGCCACTAGCACACGTGGCCACCCGGCCTTCGGAAGAGCATCTGGCGTGACTGAGAAATTATATTTCAACTTTATTTTGTTTCAGATGATTTCGTAGCCACTGTGCTGAGCTGAAGTGACAATACGTCCCATCTGGACAAAAGTCCTGGGAAGAAGCATGTGCCCCTCCTCCTTCGAGGCTCCAGGGTGGAGGTGGGGGAGGGGGCAGGCCTGAGAGATACTAGACCCACAAGACCTGGGGGGCAGGCCGACACCAGCCCTTCCCCAGGGCAAAGTCCGCCTCTCTCTGCTCCCGGGCCAGCTCTGGGCTCCAGGGACCACGGCCAGGGTCACCCAGGCGGAGCTCAAGGCGTCCAGGCCCCGGCTCAAGCTGGAGGGGCGGGGAGGCCTGACCGAAGGTCCCTCCGGGGGGGCAGCGGGAGGCTGACCTAGGGACCACGGCTCTGGGGTCCCCTGCCCTCTGGCTGCTGGTGGGAGGCGCCGAGGGAGGTGGGGGGCGGGAGGGTCAACAGGACGGGGGACTGGTCCCCAGCCTGCCCCCAGATGTGGCGTCACGATGGAGCCAGGTCCCGCCCGGCGGGCCCTCCTCCAGGGCTCCAGGGACACCTGTCTGTCCGTCCTTTAGTCCTTCAGGTCTGGGGACAGGCCCTGGGGGCTCCCCACCCCAGTCACAGGCCCTCGATGCCCACCGTCCAGGGTGTCAGTCAGGCCGCGGACTCACCTCCTGCTCCGAGAGGCCGTCGATGATCTCGGACACCTCGTGCTCGCTGCGGGCGGCCGACATGGAGAGCCCGCTGCCCCGCTGGCCCACCCTGCTGGGAACCGAAGCGACACACTCAGGACCGGCCCTCGGCAGCAGGGAGGCCAGGCCGGCACCGTGCACAGGCCTGAGCCCCAGCTGCCCCCGCGGTGCCTGTGGGCTGCGGGGAGGGGCCAGGGCTCCCACACCCCGACAGCCCCACGCCAAGGGGTGCAGGGGAGGGCACGGAGTCACCCCCCCGGACCCGGGGACACCAGAACCCCCACAGTGCAGGGGCTCAGCCCCTTCTCTCCTAAGACTGGTCGGCCGAGGCCAGCCGCATAGACCATGTTCCCTCCCCCGCTCTGCTCCTGCATCCAAGGACCTGACGGGGCCCCTGGGGCCCAGGGTGAGACCCGGTTCTATTTCCCATGACACACAGAGCCGTGCCTCAGTTTCCTTCCCGGAAACACAGGGACCGTGGCCCCGGCTCCCAGGGCTGGGAGGAGGCATCTGCAGATACTGTGAGTGTCCAGTGGCCGGTGGAGTCTGTTATCGCTGCTCATGGCCCGTCGCCCCATGTGACCAAAGGGGCGACAGAACCAGAGCCACACCCCACCAGCACCTCCTGGGTGCTGGGCGCAGCCACAGCCGACCCACCTCCTGGCTGCTACGCCAGGCAGCCCTCTGCCCTCGGGTCCACAGCAGGGATCTCAGAGCCTTCGGGGCCGCGCAGACACGCCGCCAGCGACGCGTGCGCAGCCCGGGGCACACGGGGCAGCCGCCTGCTCACGGAAACGTATTAGGTCCCGAGCCGTGTTCAGGCCCAGCAGGGTCTGAGCGAGGCCTCCGAGGGCCTGACGGGGCCCCTGGGCCGCCAGGTCGAGCCGGTCACCCCTTCCGCGCCACACAGGCCGGGCTCCGCGGCCCAGTCCCGGGGGCGCCAGGGGCGAGGCGCTGCAGGGAGGCCGCTCACCTCTGCATGCGCTCCTGCAGCTCGCGCTGCTTGCGGATCTCGGGGAACTGCTTCTCGTAGTACTCGCGCACCTTGCTCTCCTTGGCCCGCCGCCGGGGGTTGTTCTCGATGCGCTCCACCTTCTTCTCCCAAGCCTCCATGAGCTGGTCATAGCGCTGGCAGAACTTCTGCTCCTGGGCAGCGGAGAGGCCACTCTGAGGGCCCGTGCAGCTGGACTGCAGCCTCCGCTGCCCCCTCTGCACGGACACAGTCACAGACAGACCCAGGGGCACAGACACACACAGTCACAGACAGACCCACGGGCACAGACAGACACACAGGCACACAGACAGACACACGGGCACACAGACAGACACACAGGCACACAGACAGACACACGGGCACACAGACAGACACACGGGCACAGACACACACAGACACACACAGTCACACAGACAGACCCACGGGCATAGACACACACACAGACACACACAGTCACAGACAGACACACGGGCACAGACAGACATACAGGCACACAGACAGACACACGGGCACACAGACAGACACACGGGCACAGACACACACAGACACACACAGTCACACAGACAGACCCACGGGCATAGACACACACACAGACACACACAGTCACAGACAGACACACGGGCACACAGACAGACACACGGGCACACAGACAGACACACGGTCACACAGACAGACACAGTCACACAGACACACGGGCACACAGACAGACACAGTCACACAGACAGACACGGGTACACAGACAGACACATGGGCACATAGACAGACACGGTCACACAGACAGACACACGGGCACACAGACACACACGGTCACACAGACATACACAGTCACACACACATGATCACACAGACACGGTCACACAGACACACACGGTCACACACACTCACAGTGACAGACAGATAGCACACATGTGGTCACGTGGAACCTGGGCAGACTGGACCCTGAAGAAAACCCACAGGCTCCCCCCAGGGCCTGGTCACCTCGCTCCCTGGGGAATGGCCACCCAGCCTGCCTCCCTCTAGAAAGGCCTCATCCAACATGGGAGCCACCAGCCACTTGTCAAGTTCAAATCAGGTAAATTTAAGTAACATTTAAAATTCAGATCCCTGGTCCCCACCCACACTGCTGCTAGTGCTCGGCAGCCACCCGTGGCCGGGCCACATCCACAGCAGACAGCACACCAGGGACGTCCATCATCAGAGGAAGTTGTCCTGGACACTGCGGCTCCGTCCCCCAGCAGCCCCCCAGGAAGCACCCCCTTTCTGAACAGTTCCTCATCCCAGGCCCGGGGGTGGGGGTGCAGACCCGAGCTGCCATCCAGCCAAGACCAGGAAATCCCCCTCCATGTCCAACCACAGGGCCACCTGCTCCATGTCCTTGGAGGAAAGACCCCACTCGGCCCAGAACTGGCGTCCTGGCTTCTGAGTCTCCAAGGTGACCTGGACTGAGCAGGTGGAGCGTCCAGGGGCACGGAGACCCCGGGCCCCCCAGCCGCTGCAGTGGACAGATGGCACATCTGGGAGTCTGGCTTCAACATTCAGCACCTTCAGAAAACCCCTCTCGGGGCCCGTGCCCAGCCCGGCCGGTGTTTCAGCCGCTGACCTGGATTCTCAGCAAACCCAGTGGCACGATGCTCCCCCAGGAGAGGTCAGGCCAGCTTTAAGGGGGTTAGAACTTGACCCCCAGCTCCTGGGGCCCCCCCATGTATGTGGGCTGCTCCACAACCCCTCGGAGATCATAGTTCCGGTAACACAGACAACGGCCACATGCGTCCGTGGCGATGTGCCGTGCACGGACAGCCGCCCACCAGGGATGGGACCAGCGTGAGGGACCCCTGCCTGTCACAGAGAGGGGACCTCCCCCTGCATGCTGAACCCCCACAGAGTGGCTTCAGTCTGACAGGCAAGAACAAGACAGCGTGTCGGACAAGGACAGGGAAGGACAGTCACACCAGCGGAGGAAAACGGTGCGGCCACCAGCAAGAACAAAAGGGACCGCGGGCCCGACCAGCCGTAGAGGGGACGGGTGGAGAAACGGACACGGGCAGCACACGGGTGGGCCGCGTGGAGTCGGTGCAGCCAAGGGACATGGCAGGAGCGTCCCTGAGGGGACATCCGGCCACGCTGCCCAAGGCCAAGTAGCAGGCAAGAAGACATGAGCAGCTCCCAGGGACAAGTCCAGGAAGTCCCTCTCCGTGGGTGACCACGGCACTGCCTGCTGTCACCCGAGTCCCCTGTGGGGACATGTGGCTGCACCCCTTCTCTGGGCAGCAGGGACTCTGCTCAGCAAACTAGGGAAGGGAGCCTCCGGCCGCCGCTGGCGGGGGGAGAGGCCTCTGGGGTCACCTGGTGACCCAACGTCCTCCAGAGCTGCATGGAGCTTGTGACCTCTGACGCTGGAGAAGGCAACCCCCACAGCTGCCCTGAGAATGGGGTTCGGGCCTCCTCTCTGCATGCTCGGTGCCGGATGAGGGTGATGCGGCGGCGGGAGCGCCCCCAGCCCGTCCCGCCTGCGGTTCAGGGAGCAGAAGCGAGGCCCGGATGCTGGGAGGGGACGGGTGGGGACCTGCAGACCCGAGGTCTGGGGCCACCAGGGCCAAGCCCCTCCCGGGCCTCGCTGAACACAATGCGGTCAGGGCCGCGGCTCGCTGCATCCGACCGAGAACCAGGTCGCTCCAGAGCCTCCGTGGCAGCTTCTGTTCGTTTACACAAGCGCCTGTCGAGATGGGTTCTGCAAAGCCACCCGCAGTGTCTTAGAAGTCTCCAGTTCCTCCGTCTTTTTTTTTTTTTTAATATTTTTATTGATTTTTTTTTTTTTAGAGAGGAAGGGAGATAGATAGAAACATCGATCGGCTGCCTCCTGCACGCCCCCTACTGGGGATCGAGCCCACAACCCGGGCCTGTGCCCTGACTGGGAATCAAACTGGGACCTCTCAGTCCAGGGGACGGCGCTCAGTCCACTGAGCCACATGGGCCAGGCCCTCAGTCTTTACATTAACTGATGTCCCTCCTCCCACTCACGCCACCCCCGGGGAGCTACCTGAGATTTCCCAAGAACGTACACCCACCCCAACCCTACCTGTCCCCAGCAGCGGCAGTGTTCCTTTCAAAATGGAAACCAGATCTTTTTCCTCTGAACAAACCTCACCCCCAGGCAAGACAACTGGGTAGACAGGGGTGCACTGTACCCTGGAACATTCCCTGCATGACTTCTTGTAACAAAGACTCTGCTCTTTATTAAGACTGTAAATTAAGCACCCCACCGAGTTCAGAGTGAAATGTAAACACTTCATCCTAGTCAAGGGGAAACATTTCCAGGTGCTCCGGCTCCCGTGGTCTCCATGTCAACCACCCCCCACCCGACCCGTGCAATGCACTGCGGGCCTGCCTGCCACATTGCGCCCCGTTGTCCCAGCGGCTCCTGCCACAGGGCCTTTACACTTGCTGTGCCCGCTGCCTGACACTCCGACCTCCAGATCTCCACACGGCTGGTCCTTTCTTGTCATTCCCACCTCAGCACGGAGGACCCCAGCTTACCCCGCCCCTCTGCACAGCACTCCTGGCTGGGCCTCCTACCCTCAGCACAGCTCAGCACCGTGCCAAGCGGGTCCTTGGAAGTATTTAACTGTGTGAATAAGATGGGATGTCCAGTTTCATGAACCCTGGCCACCCTGCCCAGGTGCCTCTGGTCATCATCCTGGGAGGCCCATGGCTTCATATATCCATAGAGCCCTGGGGTCCCAAATGCCACCCATCCAGCTTCCCGTCACCCAGTATCTGAGCCACAAGTGTCTCCTCTCTCTGAGGGCCCAGCTGAGGTCTGGGACCAGAGCAAGGTGAGTTCAGAAACGGGCGCAGAGGGACCCATGCCCTCAAGTGGTCCAATCCGGGCTTTGGAGAGATGGTCTTAACAGCTCTATAAGACTCGAACCCACTGTCGGAATTCAGGCCCCACAGGGAAACCAGTTTGTCAGTGCATTAACACACAGAGTTGGGAAGAAAAAAATAAAACCGCATAGAAATGAAGATACAGCCTGATCGAGCCACTCCTGAACTCCACCCAGTGCACTTTCTCAGCTACACAAACTCCTTTACTCTTCCCCACCTGAACCAACTCTTCTTCCCCTCGGAGCTGAAGGCACACTGACACTGACGGGTAACTCCCCTCCATCACTGGGCCCTGACTCTCCATGAGGATACAGCCACCCTGCACGGCGGCCGCACGCAGCCCCTCCCACGTGCGCTCCAGGAGGGAGCGGGCGCCAGCACCCGGCTGTCTCGATGCAGCCGGAGAGCTCAGGGCCCACCCAGTCCTCCAACTCTTACCACAAACCTCCCTCTCTCTGCCTGGAAAGCCCAGGATCACCAGGAACCGATTTCACACCCAGGCTGGAAAAGAACAGAATCTGGGCCCTGACCCACACCCAGGCCTCCAGGGGGCAGCCGCTGCCTTTGCCCCTTTCTGTCGCTATCCTTGGTGCTTCTTCCCAGCCCAGACACTCGGTAACCAGCCAGCTGCAGAGCCCAGGCGTCCTGGTGGGTGTGGCCAGGACGACCTCTGCTCCCAAGGAAGCCTGACCCACAGGGCCCAGGGCGACTTACCCATTGTTTACGGGCGTGGTTTCTCCTCTTGAAGTACAAGATCAGCTTTTTCCGCATCGCCTGGTTTCTGCGGCGAAGGGGACAGCAAGGGGACAGTCAGTAACGCAGGGGACAGTCAGTAACGCAGGGCTCAGGTGTTCCTGAGGTTCTCGGTGAGGTGAGAGACACCCATGGCCCCTCAGAGTGAGCCCCCAGCTGCCCAGTCCGTCTTCCTCTCCCCCAACCCCGAAGTGCCCCCCACCCACAATTAGGCTGAGTTTGGTCTGCAAAAGAGGGGGCTCTGAAGAAGGGGTAAAGTATCTGTGGCTTCCTGTCCTTCCCTGGGGCTACTATCACCCCCACATGCAGAGTCCCCTCTGCCCGTGAGCCACACCCGCCATGGAAAAGTGGCCAGAGACATAAATAACCACAGCCCAGACCAGCAATTAGACCTGCAGCCCCCACACCTGCAGCCAGCAGACCTCAGACCAGGAACACAGGCCTGCAGCCCCCACACCTGCAGCCAGCAGACCTCAGACCAGGAACGCAGGCCTGCAGCCCCCACACCTGCAGCCAGCAGCCCTCAGACCAGGAACGCAGGCCTGCAGACCCCACACCTGCAGCCAGCAGACCTCAGACCAGGAACACAGGCCTGCAGCCCCCACACCTGCAGCCAGCAGGCCTCAGACCAGGAACACAGGCCTGCAGCCCCCACACCTGCAGCCAGCAGGCCTCAGACCAGGAACGCAGGCCTGCAGCCCCCACACCTGCAGCCAGCAGACCTCAGACCAGGAACACAGGCCTGCAGCCCCCACACCTGCAGCCAGCAGGCCTCAGACCAGGAACGCAGGCCTGCAGCCCCCACACCTGCAGCCAGCAGGCCTCAGACCACGAATGCAGGCCTGCAGCCCCCACACCTGCAGCCAGCAGGCCTCAGACCAGGAACACAGGCCTGCAGCCCCCACACCTGCAGCCAGCAGGCCTCAGACCAGGAACGCAGGCCTGCAGACCCCACACCTGCAGCCAGCAGACCTCAGACCAGGAACGCAGGCCTGCAGCCCCCACACCTCCAGCCAGCAGACCTCAGACCTCCCCTCCCCTTGGCAGGAGGCAGGACGTGGGGACTTGTTTCCAAAGCACCGAGGACAGAACCGGACGGACGGAGGAGAAACAGGGGGCAAGGTGAACACCGCCACTCAGTGGGTGTCGGAGACCCTGACGGGATGTGCTGGGGAGGGCGCCCCGCACCTCTGCGGGACTCCTCCAGAAACACAGACAAACCAACTGAGGGACACTCTGTGATGTCCCTGACTGCACCCCTCCAGGGTCAGGGTCAGGAGGACCGAGGAGGGCGGAGAAACGGCACAGACGGGACCGAGGGGACACTGGACAATGCGGGACGTGAGAATCTGGATCCAATCTTGGACCAGAAAATGGACATTCATAGGAAAACTGGGAAAATCCAAAGAAAGTCTGGTTTCGCTGACAGCACTGTGTCCGGCTGATGTGGCTCAGTGGACTGAGTGCCGCCCCATGGACAGAGGTTCCGGTCTGATTCCCAGTCAGCGCACACGCCCAGGTTGTGGGTTCGATCCCCACGGCGGGGGGAGGGTGTGTGTGCAGGAGGCAGCCGTTCGACGTATCTCCCTCACATCGATGTTTCTCTCTCTCTCCCTTCCTCTATCTAAAAAATCAATGAAAACATAAAAAAAAAAAAGATGTTTGCACCAGGCGTGGACACGGGACATTCTCTGTGCTGTCTGCGGGTCCTCTGTAAGTCGAGCTATTTTAAAATCACTTTTCAGAACAGATGGACATGCTCGGGCCTGCGGTGTGCGGTGAGGCTCGAGCGTGACCTGCTCTGGGGCCAGCACAGGGCCCGGAGCGTGTTACGGGTTGAAATGTGTCCCTCTCCCCAGACGAGATGTTGGATCCTGAGCCCCCAGGACCTCAGAACATGACCTTGTTTGGGAACCGGGTCTTTTCAGAGGTCATCGGGCTGGACGAGGTCATCAGGTGGCCCTCATCCCACACGGCTGGGTCCCAGGGGGCAGTCTGGACGCGGAGACAGACGCGGGGAGGGAAGGGGACCTGAGAAGGCGCAGCGGTCAGGGGAGGACTGCAGAGGTGTCCACAAGCCGGGACGGCCAGCAAGCCCAGAAACCAGACGAGGCCGGGAAGGAGCCTCCCGAGCCTCCCCGCGGCCCTGGCGACCCCGAGTCCGACGCCTCTCCCAAACTGGGGGAGAATGAAGTGCTGTTGCTTGTGGCCACCAGCTCTTCGGCGACTTTGGGTGACCCCAAGTCACTCACACAGCGTGGATCGGTCCGGACCAGGTGACCGGAAAGGTCGGCGAGGACCGAGTGGGCGGCTGCCTGGCTCACCTCGGCGATGGAGGGCGCGGTCTGTCTCCCGCCGTGTGCCCGGCCCCCAGGGGACAAATGCCCGCAGGCTGCGGACGGTCGCGAGCACCCAGCAGGGCCAGCGCACAAGTGTGGGTCTGGACGCCGGTGTCTGTGCAGCACTGAGACTCCTTGCCAGACTCAACACCAGGGGCTGCTGTGTCGTGGACCGAACGTAAAGCTTCTCGGGAAAGGCCAGGCGGCCCGGCCACCCTCCCCGCTGCCGCAGGCCGGGGACAGAGGCCTCTGCCCCTCTCGACGGGCGGCGAGCCCGCCATTCATTCCCGGAGCACCCAGCACGCCCGGCTCTCCCGCCGGCCCCCCACGCGGCTTTCCGTCCCGCCCCGAGCCTGCCTGCGGGTTAGCACCCCCGGGCGTAGGGCGTGGGGTGTCCGCTGGTTCAACATCCGGCCAGCAAATGTTTTGTGAGTGTTTATTTTGAACCAAGAACTGTTTTGATATTGGAGATGCAAACAGCTTAGTCTGGGCGCGTCCTCCCTACTGAGAATCACCCAGCAAAACTAAGGGACAGGCCCCACGGGGTCTCTGGAAGGACGGACACACCGGCAGTGCGGTGAGCTCCCTGGTGGAGGCATTAACGGGGTGCAAAGGGGAGCTGCAGTCCTCCGTAAGAAAGTACAACCTGTGGGGGACCAAAGGCCTCGCCCTCGGACCTGGACTTGGGGGGAGAAATGGGAACCAGGAGGGAGCGGTGAGGAAATGGACACTCTGGAGGTTCGAGAAGGCTCTGGCCAGGGCAATCCGGGTGGGCTTCCCGGAGGAGGGGAAGTTTGAGCTGAAGCTTGGGGAAGCAGAGGGTCCAGGTTAGTCAGGAATGAGGGTGAATCTGGAGGGGGTGAGGGGCACTGAGGGTGAGCCAGACCTGGGGAAGAGTCAGATGGCGTTAGCCAGGGCGGGATGCCGGAGGCCTTGGGAAGAGCCTGCCAGATCGGGGTGACTGATGGTCTACGGTCCTCTTCCCACGTGAGACCGACTTACGACCGGCAGACTGATGTCACTGCTAAGGTCAGCGGACTGGAGGGGGCAGAGCCCAGGCTGGAGACCGGAGCAGGGGCAGGGTGGGTGTGCAGACGGGGCTGGCCTAGGAGTTTGCTGTGTGACCCTGGGGAAGTCACTTAGCATCTCTGAACCTCTAGAGGAAGACCACGAAGGCCTGTGAACAGCAAGCTGGGTCCCCTGGGCTGCCACGCAGCCAACGCCCCAGGCGGGGCAGTGCGGGGAGCATTCGGCTGCGGCGGAGGAGAAGCGGGGGGAACTGAGCACGCAGGAAGCAGCAGGCTTCCAGACCCCGAGGGGGTGAGGAGACAGAGGACTGTGGCTGCGCCTGGGCTCTGACACCAGGCAGGGTGTGGCAGGAGAGGCCATGGTAGAAGCCACAGCAGAAGCCACGGCAGAAGCCACGGCAGCCAATGTCCCCACATGTCACTGCCACTGAATTAGACATGGTTTTCGCAACACCAACACATTATTCAGCCAAGAGCTCTCCGCAGGTCTTGCAGAGAGGGGCCCCCCCTCCTTCCACAGAGCACCCACATATGCCGCTCAGGCTTGCCCACAGCCCCGCCCCTGCGGCCCCAAGGCCAGAGAGGTCTGAGGAGCGGCTCCCGAGGCCTGGGGCGGAGATCCGGCAGCAAGTCCCCGCCGAGGGGCACGGAGGCCATCCCACACCCCCCGAGGCGGCAGGGGGCGGAGGGAGAGCCTCGAGGTGGGTCCGGCGCCTGGAATGCGTCCGAAATTGTCAGTGCGGCAGGAAGTCGAGCGTGAAATTAACTTCAGCTCGCGGCCCCAGACGCAGACACAGAGAAATCAGGGCGCAGGGCTGGGTCCTGGGGGGAGGGTCACCCCCACTGGCAGCAGTTACAGCAGCGGGAGGAGGGCACTGGGGCCGGGGGCGCAAGCGTGAGCCTGGTGACACCGCACCACCCCCGGGGGTTCTCTTGCTGCCCTCACAGAGCTGACTCCACACTCGTCCACCCCGTCTGCAGCCCAGGACGCCGGGCCCCGCCCACCGCGGTCCCCCCAGGCCCGCGCACGATGAGCACATGTGGGGGGAATGGAGGAACGAGCAGCGGCTCTGGGGGTCTGCGACGTAAAAGCACAGAAGCCCCAGAACACCTCCTACGCGTGGACCCTGAGGTGGGCGTCAGGGACAGAGACTCACTGGATCTCCGACATCCCTAGGAGACGGGCGCGGTATCGTCCCCATCTCACAGATGGGGAAACCGAGGCACCGAGAGCGAGTGAGCACCGGAAGGGCCAGAGAGTCACGGCCCTGACCCTGTCTCTGCGCCGTCAACTCTTCCATCTCGGGCCTCAGGGTCTCTCTCTCCAGGGCTGCCCAGGCCTCCGACCCTGGCGTCCATGGGACCCCCTGGCCCTGACCCCCTCGCCCACCCCCACGGCTTCCACGGGGTCAGGCTCCACTGCTTGCCACATGGCTGTCATGACCTCTGCCAAGGTCTCCCCACCCCCACCCTCTCGCCCTGCAGCCACCAGCGTGGGCTTTTAGGAACAAAAATCCGAGCACGTTAGTTCCCAGAATAAGCCCCATCACTGGCCTCCCTCTGCGCAGACAATGACACCCAAGCTCCTACCAGCCCCAGGCACCTCTCTCCCCTTCACCGCCTTGGGCCTCGCCGACCTTCAGTGATCCCACCAGCTCACCAGGCCCAGGGCCTTTGCACGGATGGCCTGCTGCAGCTGCCCGGGAGGCACACATGGCCGGCTGCCGCTCAGCCTCCAGTGTGCACTCAACCGTCAGGTCCCGCCCCATCCCCGGCTAACGTCACCCCTCACTTCTTCTACCTTCACCCCCGTTGCCATCCGGACAGCGTCTCCTAGAGCGGATGACTGCAGGGATCGAACGATGACCACACGGACGTGTCAACCGCAGGAGGGATCGTCCCCGTGGAAGACTGTTTTCAAAAAATTAACGTTCTCACGCCCTGGCCGGTTTGGCTCAGCGGTTGGAGCGTCGGCCAGTGGACCAGAGAGTCCTGGGTTCGGTTCCCGCTAGGGGCACGGACCCCCCCGAAATAAATAAGTAAAATAACGTTCTCAGGTTGCTCACAGGTTTGTGTTTCCCACACACAGCCGACCGCTTGTGACGTGAGGAACCTCAACCGGTCCTTGCTGCTTTAAATTTAAACTCGGCCATCTGTGACTCAGAACATTTCAGCAGGCATTGCATTCACTGCCAACATGCCCCCGGCGGACCAGAGCCATCCTCGGATGCCGATTACGGGAGGCCAGGCTAGGGCGCTGGTCTCAGGGGGCTCACTGTGCTTTCCCCCCAAACAGAGAAGGGGTCAGCGAAGGAACACATATGTGTGGACAGAGATGGTGAAGTCCAAGGGGAGGGGCGTGGGGGTGGGTGGAGGTGGACGAAGTGGGGACAGGCAAGAGGGGCTCCTGTAATGGTGTCAACGTTAAGAACTTTTAATTAAAAATAGTGTTTTTATTTATTTATTTATTTATTTATTTATTTATTTATTTATTTATTTTTTATCCTCACCCGAGGATATTTTTCCATTTTTTGTTCAGATAGAGTGGGAGGGAGAGAGAGAAAGGGAGAGAGAGAGAGAAACATCGATGTGAAGGGACACATCGAGTGGCTGCCACCTGCATGACCAACCAGGGCCAGGGACAAACTTGCAACCGAGGTACGCGCCCTTAGCGGGAACCGAACCCGGGTCTCTCAGGACCGCAGGCCGACGCTGTAACCGCTGAGCCAAACTGGCCAGGGCAAAAAAAATAGTGTTTTTTTTTTTAAAGATGTGAAGAAAAACCACACACACAGCCTGGCCGGTGTGGCTCCGTGGATGGAGCATCGTCCCGTGGACTGAGAGGTCCCGGTTCGATTTCTGGTCAGGGCCCATGCCTGGTTGTGTGCCCGATCCCCAGTAGGGGGCGTGCAGGAGGCAACCGATGGATGTTTCTCATCAATGTTTCTCTCTCTCTCTAAAAAATCAAAAACATATTTAGAAAAACACACACACAGAGATGTGGCAGTATCTTATTTGCTCATATTACTCAGGTGGGTACTTTTTTCCTTTCTTGTTTGGATTTCTACGGTTGCTTCTGTAACCTGGGAGCATCCATGTTACTCAGTTTAAAACAGCAAACAGTTGGCTCTGACCATTTTGGCTCAGCGGTTAGAGTGTCGGCCCGAAGACCTAAGAGTCACAGGTTTGATTCCGGTCAAGGGCATGTACCTTGGTTGCGGTTCGGTCCCCCACAGTTGGGGTTGTGCGGGAGGCAACCGATCAATGTGTCTCTCTCACATTGATGTCTCTCTCCCTCCCTCCCTCCCACTCTGTCTGAAAATAAATGGGAAAGTATCCTTGGGTGAGGATTTTTTTAAAAATTGCAAATGTTTGTCCTGGACGGTTTGGCTCAGCGATTGGAGCATCAGCCTATGGACAAAAGAGTCTCGGGTTCTATTCCCAGTCAAAGGCACGAACCTGGGTTGCAGGTTCAATCCCAACCCCAGCTGGGATCGTGCGGGAGACAATCGATTGATGTCTCTCTCACATCGATGTTCTCTCTCCCTCCCTCCCTCCCACTCTCTCTAAAAGTTAATGGAAACACCCTTCACTGAGGATTCACTACACCAACGAAGAGCACGCGTCTCTGTACGATGCCACCACCGTCGAGATGCCGAAGGGAAGACGACGACTCGGCATATCAGAGCATAAAGGCCCAGGATGGCTTTGGGCCACTGCGCTTTTTATTAGCTGACACGACCCTGCTCATTTAACTCGCTATTTCTGTCTATGCAGCTGGACAAAACCTAATGAGGGTCTGGGTCTCTGCTCTGTTCAGAGCTCAATCCCCAGGTCCTAGACCAGGGCTTGGCACGTGGTAGGTGATCCGTAGTGTGTGCTGAGTGAGTGAATGAATGGATGAGTGAGTGAATGAGTGAGTGAATCAGTGAATGAATGAATGGATGAGTGAGTGAGTGAATGAGTGAATGAGTGAGTGAATGAATGGATGAGTGAGCGAATGAGTGAGTGAATGAGTGAATCAGTGAATGAGTGAGTGAGCGAGTGAGTGAATGAATGCATCAGTGAATGAATGGATGAGTGAATGAGTGAGTGAGTGGTGAGTAAATGCTCCCAGCAGCCCTGCTCGGATGAGAGCACCCTCCGGATCCAGCTATGACAGGCCCTAAGAGCATGCAGCCCCATCACCCTCCATCTGCGGTTCCCCCACCCCCAGCAGTGACCCCAGGGCAATGCAGGCCCCAGGAAGCTTAGAAAGGACTGAGGCAACCTAACAGGAAATAAACTATGTTGAGCCAAGAGGGACTCGGTACCTGGGCAGCAAACACGCCACACAAAAGCACAGGGCCCCGGGACGGGCAATCCCAGCCCGCAGCGAGGCCCAGCCCTGCGCACGGCGACCTGCGACAGGGGGAGCATCCCTGGCAGGTGCTCCCGAGCCCCAGGGGCCAAGGGCCTCACTGGCAACAAGAGATGTTCCAGGTTCCTCCATCAGTCACCGGGCGCGGCAGGGATGGCTGAGTCTCGAAACTACAGGGGAAGGGGTCTCGCCGACTAGTCCAGCCCCAGCAGATACGCGGACACCATCAGGTGTGCATGCTTCCGGCGACGAGGAGCTCACTACTGCGCGTACACACTGCAGTTACACCTCGGGGACGCGCAGACAGTCCGACGGGCTGGACTACCGACGGGACCAGCTAAGCACCACCCTGCACCTTCTCGTAGCTCAGAACGGAACGGTTCAGACTGTGACCCGACTGTGCCTCCAACCTAACCGCCCCCCGATGGCTCACCCACATGTCCCCAAGAGGCAAGGTCTGCACCCCTGTTACCTTTCAGGTTCCAGGGTAACACCACGAGGGAACACCCGCCCCGCAGCCAAGGCCATGCTCCCGTCCACGCATCCGAGAAAAAGGCAGGCCCTCCACGGCCACACCCCCAATGCTGGGCTCCCAGCTTAGAAACACGGAGCCCCCTGTTCACAGAAGACTCTGGCCCCACCTCATCCCTCTCCAGGGTTGTGCCTGCAAGTCCTCACCCACCCGCCCAGCCTGAGGTCTGCTCCCCAAAGCTTCACGGGGCCACCCACCCAGGCCTGCTCAGACCCACGTGCCCCTCCGCCCGTCCTCCCGCACCTGGCCCGGGCTGGGAGCCCCAAGGGGACCGAGAACCCACGTCCCGCCCGGGCTCCCGAGACCCGAGAGCCTGCCCCGACCTGCGTCCGCCCGCTGCCCACGCATACTCACATTTTGATGTTCTCATGATACTGTCTGGTGTCGGAGGGCTGGTTGTACAAGGGCTGCGAGGAAGAGAGGAAGAGGGTCAGAGCCGGGCGGCCACGGCCCCGCGACCCGCGCTCCCAGGCCCCCTCCGCCGCAGCGCCCCAGGCCCTGACACCAGGGCGCCATCTGTCCGCTGGTGTGGGAACCAGCCGCCGGCAGGCATGACACGGAACATGGGGACCCAGCCCGCGGCCCCGGCCAGGAACAGACTGTAACCCTCTGGGCACAGCTGTGGTACCAGGACTTCCTGCCACCGTGGCTACGCGGCAGGGCACTGGGCAGTGCTGGTCCAAGCGCCAGGGGGAGCTGAGATCAGCAACGATCTCCAACAGGGAAAACTGCTCAACGTCTTAGTGTCCAAACCCGCGTGAGAGGCCACGTCAGCCCCACTGACCGACAGAGGACAAGCCGAGAGCAATGCCAGGTACTGGCGAGGAGGTGGGGAGACGGGAAGGTTGGCATGTGCCCCATGCAAGGCTGTACGGGCAGCAAGTTTCAAAGAACAGTGAAGGAACCTGTGGTGTGCTCGGCGGTTAGAGTGTCGGCCCACAGATCAAAGAGTCACAGGTTCGATTCTGGTCAAGGGCAGTAACCACAGTTGCAGTCTGGTCCCCGGCCCTGGTCAGGGTCGACCGGGAGGCAATCAATTGTTGTCTGTCTCTCTCTCTCTCTCTTTCTTTCTCTCCCTCACCCTCTATCTGAAGATACATTCCTCAGGTAAGGATTAAAATTAAAAAGGAAGGTATATCTGCCCTGCGACCCCGCCCCTTCTGCCGAAGTCCCAGAAACAGTGGGGCCCCGTGTCCCACCAGGAGATGAACGTCAGAATCCCCGGACCGCACTGCTCCTGACAGCAACACATTAGCAGAGGAAATGAAGCACCGTTTATACCGGGAGTACTACACAGCACTGAAAAATGAATGGCCGGAGCCCAGGTACAGCGACAAGCGTGCACAAGGAAGACAGCGAGTTGCTGCGGGGTCTGTGATGGGTCGGAGCTCGGCTCGGCTTTGCGTAGCCCTTCCTGGGTGGCAGCACCACTGTTGGGGGCTCCGGCACGACCTGAGTGGCAGCCTGGTCCTAACACTCCCTGGTCGTGTGTCTCTGGGTGAGCCTGATGTTCATCTATAAGCAGGGTTACATTCACAGGGTCTGTTGCAAAGAATAAGCCAGTGCCTGCAAGCGCTTAGCCCGATGGTGGCAGAAATGTCCAAGTACCAGCACTGTGACATTGTGTACAACATGTCATCATCACCATCAGGGGGCGGGGCCTGGATTAACGGCACCCGTTTTTCCTGCCTCCCTGGATAACAACAGGTGTGCACTTAAGGCAAAGGCTTGGAGGAGTGTGCGTATCTAGGTCACCGGCCCATCAGGGCAGCCCAGCCTGGCCTGCTGTAGGCAGACCGACAGCCTGGACTACGGCAGGGCCAGCCCAGCCCCGCCCAAGCCAGAACCACCCGCCCACGGCCCGGCTGACCTGCACGTGAGTGAGCCGAGCCGGCCCCTACCCTTACAGTCAGCGGGAGGGGGGAAGTTGGGGGGCTCGAGCCACTCCATTGGGGCTGTTCTGTCACAGCGGCGGCGGACCAACTTGATTCTCGTCCCCATTTTACAGGTGGGAACACGGAGTCCCTCGCCCGCCCGCGTGTGCCTGCCTCGCGCCCTCCCCTCCGCCCCTCCCTGTCTCTCACGGGCCCACACGTGCTGCGGGAACCTCGGGGCCGCCGTGGGTAACGATGGCAGAACCGGGGACGGAGCGTGAGGCTTCAAGCAGGACAGGAAGGACAGGACGCCAAGTCCTGAAGCCTGGGGCAGGGCCTGGGGCAAGCGAACGGGGCGCTTGGCTCCGCCTGGGATTTCTCCCTGCGGAGGGAGTGGGCACGCCTCCCGACACCCACAAAGCTCCGGCCGACACCAGCCACAGGCCCCTCCGGGCCACCTGCCGAGGGGCTGCCCAAGGCCAGGCAGGGCCTCCTCTGTCCCGGGAGGCAAGTCCCACTATGGCAGCCACGAGGTGACCTTGGCCCTCAGCCACCACGACCAGTGGGGCTCGGCTCTCCTGTCTCTCACTACCTGACAGGTCACCGTCCCCCGCCAGGGGACACACCCCTGGAGGGAAAGCCCCTCCCACCGACCCCAGGAGCGAGGCCCAGGGCTGGAGACAGCCAGCACGGTCCACCCTCCCGGCGGGCCCTGGCCTGGGTCGCCCACCCCACACCTCCACTTTCTCCTCTACAAGGGGGACCCAGCACACTGTCGGTCAGAGGGCGAGGGCAGGGAGCGACGTGTCTGCTGCGGACACACCGCGGGGAAGAACCGGAGACACTGGCATGACTCAGAAAGAAGAGCTGGGGCTTGGGGACCGGGGGGGAGTCCCTTTCGACCTGCCTTCAGCCAGCCAGGGGGTGGCCGGGAGAGGGAGCAACCCCCGGGGGACTGAGCTGCGACGAACCAGTCAGCCCGGCCCTCAACCCTCTGTGACACCAGGTTCTTAAAATAACACCTCGGAACAGGAAGGAAACCAGTGAGTCAGAGCAGCAGGGGGAGAAGGGAGCCGACTGCCCACACCCTCCCTGCACGGCCCGCTCCAGGCCAGGCCGTGGCCCTGGGGTGCCGGGGCGGGGGTCGCCACAGGCAGCCCTCCCAGGAGGGTCCCCGAGGCAGAGCAGCCGCCCCCTGGGCTGAGTGGCCCTGGCTGCAGCTGGGCGAGACCTTCGGGGAGCTGTATTCCCACTGGTGCGACTCTGAGGCCCCAGACCTCCCTGGGCTCTGACCCCTGGGCGGCACGCAGTGGCCCCTGCACAGGCCCCCCTCCGACCTGCCTCTGGCCACCGGGGCCCTGCAGCGACCAGACAGAGGTTAGACGGGTGCAGAACTAGCTGGCCACACCCCCATGGGCTCAGCTCCCCTCCCCTCATCTCTTGCTGTGTGACCCTGGGCAAGGCATGGCCCTCTCTGCGCCTCATCTAGGAAAGGGAAGGCGACACCTCCAGGAATCTGACACAGTCTGTGCCTTGCGGACATGAGCGCCCCCTGCAGGCTCACTGGAGGCCACCGAGCCAACAGCTACTGAGCTCAGAGGACTCGCCCCAAGACGGCACACTCCGGACCTCAGCCCCCCTACGCCACCAGCCTGAGTGAGCCTCTGCTCGGGCACCCCAAGCACGAGGAGACCCCGGAAAGAGTCCCTCAGACTCTGGGCCAGCAGCAGACTCCCGTCCGACTCCCCGATGCTGGCCTGCGTCCCTTGTGGGATTCCTGGAGCCTGCGACACGCTGACCTGCATTCACGTCCCCTACTCAGGAGGCCCGGACTAGTCCGGTCAGGAGGAGGAGGAGGAGAGGGAGAGCCTCCAGGGCAGGGGACGGCTGGATACCCCTCTCGTCCCGCCATCCCTGTCGGTAAGCAGTAGCTTACTGGTGGGAACAGAAAATCCCTCATGATCCAATCGTCCCAGTCCTGGGGAGACACCCACGAGAAATGGAAACACGCGTCCAGGGACACATGGGCGCCTGGTGTGCAATGGCCGAAAGCCAAGCCTGCTGCCCGTCAATGGACAGGTGATAAGCTGAGTGCAGCCCCCCCACCCGCGGGAATACTACTCAGCCGTGAACAGGAGCGAAGCGCGGACCCTGCTACGGTGCGGAGGAACCGCAGTTGCCTGGCGGTGAGCGAAGCCACAGAGGCCCACGGCGTGCAATTCCACTTTTAGGAAAACGTCCAGCGCCGGCAAATCCCCAGAGACAGGAAGTGTGTGGGGGTGGGGGCCGGGGGTGGAGAGATGAGATAAGGAGATGACAGTTGAGGGCATGGAGTTCTTTCTGGGGTGCTGACATGCTCTAAAACGGATTGTGGTGACAGTCACATACGTCGGTGAAGATACTAGAAATCACTACACAGCACTTTACATGGGTGAACTATATGGCCCGTGAATGACCTCGTAACAAAAGTACTATAACGGCCCCGGCCAGTTTGGCTCAGCGGTTAGAGCGTCAGCCTGTGGTCCAGAGAGACCCGGGTTCGGTTCCCGCTAAGGGCACGTACCTCGGTTGCAGTTTGTCCCCGGCCCTGGTTGGGTCATGCAGGAGGCAGCCACTCGATGTGTCCCTTTCACATCAATGTTTCTCTCTCTCTCTCTCCCACTCTATCTAAACAAGGAATACAAAAATGTCCTTGGATGAGGATAAAAAAAAAAAAAGTACTAAAACAACAAGGAGGCCACTAGAGACATCCTGCCCCTGACTGGGCGCCTGTCCCCAGCCCAGGAGAGGACTGGACCCTGCCCACAGTCACAGGGGCGCCCCCACCTGTGCGGCACTGCCCCCGCAAGGACCTGGGGCCACTGTTCCGCAGAAGCCTGAGCAGACACACCCAGGCTGGGAGAAGCTGCCACGGCAGAGAAGCAGAGGGGGGCCAACACCCCGCCCTCCCCGTGCTCGTGCGGCTCAGGGCTCACGAGAGGCCTGGGCCTGGCTAAGGGAGCCGGCACCGCAAACTGTCTCACTGACCCCATAAAGGTCCCGAGTCCCCATTTCACAGATGAGAAAACTCAGGCCTTTTCCCTGGGCCACTCGGCAAACACAGGGTGGAACTGAGTATAAAACTAGGCTCCCAGCCCGGTCGGTGTGGCTCAGTGGATGGAGCACCATCCCATGGACTGAGAGGTCCCGGGTCGAGGCACATGCCCAGGTTGCAGGCTCGATCCCCAGTAGGGGGCGTGCAGGAGGCCACTGATCGATGTTTCTCTTACATCAGTGATTCTCTCTCTCTCCCCCTTCCTGTCTCTCTAGAAAATCGATAGAAACGTATTTTAAGCCCTGGCCAGTTTGGCTCAGCGGTTAGAGCATTGGCCCACAGACCGAAGGGTCCCACGTTCGATTCCAGCCAAGGGTTATGCTCTGGCAACCAGTCGATGTGTCTCTCTCACATCAATGTTTCTCTCTCTCTCTCTCTCTCCACCCTCATTCCATTCTGTCTGAAGATTAATGTAGGAAAAAAAAAAATCCGCAGGTGAGGATTAAAAGAAAACAAAAAACATTTTAAAATTAGGCTCCAAATATATAAGACTGTATTTCCGCCCCATGAGCATGCCACGCCCACCCCAGAGCCACCGCAGGCCTGGGGACCTCACAGCCACCCCGTGCGTCCCTCCACGCTGCCCCGGCTCTGCACCGGCCTGTGGTACCTTGTCCTCAGAAAATGACACCTAGAGCGGTGACCGCGATGAACACTCAGCACTTGCTGGCCGTGGGCACCGTGTCCAGTGCTTCACAAACATTAATCACTGCTGCGCCCAGGGGGCTGGGAGTTCCTATTATTTCCATTTTACAGATGAGGACAGTGAGGCGCAGAGACGTTAAGAGACCTGCTCAGGGTCACACAGCTATTAAGTGGCGGACCTAGGAGTTGAACGCAGATCTCGGGGCCTGGGACACGGGCCTTCCGGGCTAAGCTGGACCACGTGGGCTGGGCTCCAAGGTCTCCATCTTCTTGCAGCCCGAGCGGCAGGCACAGGCGCCCAGCGGGAGTGCCCAGGCTCCGCCACCCCCACCCCACGCGGCGCGGCCCGGCCCGGCCCACCCGCCAGCTATCTGCCAGACCTTCTTATCGGAGGGTGTGTTTCCGGCCTCCTCCGAGGACAGGGCAGCGCTGGGCAATACAGGACTTCCTCCATCCCCCCACGCCCACCGGCCGCCCCCTCCCAGGCTCCCCCGGGTCCCCTGGCTCACCAGCTCCACCTGCGGCCCCAAGCCTTCCAGAATCCGGTGTGCTGCTTCCGCCTTCTTCTGTAGGGAGACGGAGAAGAGGAGGAATTACACACACACACGCACACACACACGCACAGAGCAGATTATAAACAGAGGCCTCCGGGAAGGGCAGGCAGCTGCCCGTCCAAGCCCAGGGGCGGGGGAAGCAGGGCCCCTCTGCACGCCCTGCCCAGGCTGGAAACAAACACACAGGGCCCTGGACACCCCTCAGCATCCCTGGCAAGCTTGCCAAGTTTCGATTCTAACAAACGCCCCGTGTTCTCTAGTGACACCCCCCCCCCAAGCCCCCAGGCCCGATGCCCTGGGCCCAGTGGTGTGGGCACAGCTCCCCACCAGCTGGCCCACGCTGCCAACCGAGGTGCCTTCCTGCACCTCCGAGCTGGTGCCGCCAGCGAGGGGGGGGAGGGCAAGGAGGGCGAGGGGGGCTCAGAGCCGCTCAGAGACACTTTCTAGGGTTCTTCTACTTCACAATCACATGCCGCCTTCTCAGCCGCCCGGGGGCCTCCCCGCACCCTCCCCTCTCACAACCCAGGACTTATTAGGAAACCAGGAACATGTGGTCGGCGGGGCTCGGTGGCCCACGATCCAACAGGCTGGACCTCTGGGCCGGCCGTGAAGGCGGACATTGTGCCTTGGCCAGGCCCCCCGGCCCCGGCCTGGGCCACCAGGGGCTGCTCCAAGGAGGGCGGGCGGGCAGCCAGCTGGGGGAGGGGTGGAGAGAGGGTTGGGGCAGGGGCTTCCGCAGGGTTTTTCGCGGATCTGGGCCACGCTTTGCGACAGAAAGCAGGGGGTCCACAGCATGCACATGGGAGACCCGAGCCCCTCCTGGGAGCCAGGAAAGGCTGGGGGCTCCTGACTCAGCCAAACTCAGGGAGACCAGTCCGTGCGGGGCGTGGGCAGGGAGGACAGGCCAAACGCATCACTGTCATCAGATCGAACCGTCTCCCCGGGAGCCCTAAATCCAGACCCACTGAGAGGGGTGATCTGGAGCCCTGGGGAGTGTGGCTGGCAACAGAATCGGGGCCCAGGCCCCTGGTGTCCCACGGGAGGAGGGGTGCCAGGGCCAGCCCCCTCCCTCCCCTGGGCAGCCCCCTGGAGACAGAGGGTGTAGGTGGGCTCAAGCTGGCACCTAGAACTCGCTCCTCCTAGAGCCCTGGGCCCAGCCCACCCAGCAGAGCTATGCTCTTGGCCCCCTGCGTGCAGAGCCGACACCCTGAGACCAGCAGACTCAGAGTGGGGCTGGGGCCAGAAAATCGGGGGCACCTCGTTGTCACGGTCGCCATTTCACTGAGCACCCACTAGGAGCCACACACCGGCACACGGCGTGCGACACCAACATTTAAACGCGACGTGAGGCCAGCACCAGACACAGCCCCATTTCACAGATGATGAAACTGAGGCACAGAAGACGACGTAAGGAAGTCCCCTGATCTCCAGGCTCCAAGAAGGCAGAGACATGGGCCAGGTCCCATCCAGAGAACTGGCACCTCCTGTGCGGGGCGCGGGTACCACCCTGACAGTCACCGCAGAACCCCCCGCCCTGCTGCACCCTGAAGCAGGAACAGGGTCGGCTGTGGGGCACGGATGGTGGGAGAATTCCCGAGGGAAGAACTAGCCTGGGGAGCGGAGCGGGCACCCAGCTCCACAAACACCCCGGGAGCACCCGCTCTGTACTGAGCACCGGGGCACGACAGATGAGACCCAGCGCCGCCCACGAGGAGCCCAGTCCCGTGAGCGGCTGGACCGCAGCGCTGTCCATAGGTCCACACGCTCGGGGAGGCATCAAACAGGGAATCAGCCACTCTCTCTGGAAAGGAGCCAGAGGGACCCAGAAGCTGGGTTTTGAGGGATGAATAGAAGGTCGTGTGCCTACATGAAGCTCTGTGGGGATCAGCTGCCGCTAGATACAGGGGCGATGCCAACAGCTGGCAGGACAGGGCTGGAACGGCGCAGTCACTGGGAACGGGCTCGTCGGACCACGCGGCGGGGCCTGGGTCTCAGGTCTGGGGGAGCCCCAGAGGCCTGAGTCCTGTGAACCATGGTGGACCCTACCCTCAACCACCTCCCAGGCAACGCTCCATCACACACCTGGTAGGAGGGTCCCCCGTTCCCTCACAGGCCTCCCCGGACTCCACGCTGCCAAGCCCTGAGCCACGCCGGGGCCTTTGCCAAAGCAACTCAATCTCCAAAAGGGGGCGCACCGACAACTCACCCGAAGGACAGTTCTAAGGGTGCCGCAACCCCGGAAAGAAGGGGTGGCATGGCGGCCGAGAACAAGGGTTCCCGGCCAGCGGCCTGGGTTCGAATCCACTTACCACCCTCGTGGCCTTGAGTAAGTCCCTTTACCCCCAGCACCCTCGGGCGGCCACCACGACAAGTATGGCTGCGACACACGAGGCTCTGACACCGGGACCCGGCACGCGGAGGCGCCGGTGAGCCGGCAGTGGCCGTTACAGCTGTGAAACCCGCCGCAAGGCTGCAGCTCGTACCCGTGGCCCCCGCACAGCCCAGCCCTGATGGGATCCGGAGTCCGGGCTCCCCCGGAGCTCCGTGCGGAAGGTTCTAGCATCAGCCAGCGGAGTCCGTGGTGCAGCTGAGTGGCAGTTAAGGCTGAACCCCTGCAGCCCTGAGCTGGCACCCCACCTCCTCAGGTCCCCCGGGGCTTCCCTCCACCTCACACCACCACACCCCTGGGCCGCTTCGTTCCCCTCCCCCAGCTTCCCTGGTCCAGCTTCGGGGGAGAGGGGCTGATCAGAGCAGCTGGGGGGATGTCCTGCCTACTGGGCCCCTCCTGCAGGTCACATCTGTCCCTCAGGGGCTGCCGCCTGGGGTCGGCTCTCCTTGCACCCTCAGCAAGTCGTGTCACCATCTGCGTCAGTCTCCCCATCTGCGAAATGGCCACACTCACCCCAGGGCCCAAACTCCCAAGACTGCTGCTCGGATGTTCTGCAAGGAACGGACTGATGTGGCTCTGTCCCTTTGTCTTAATGTCCTTCAAAGGGAGGAGGGACACCATCCGGAAGGGCATGGCCAGGACACACAGGGGTGGGCCACAGATGCAGCCCAACCAGAAATTCCCTCTCACCCCGGGCTGACAGCCACCTCCACCTCGAGGCCCAGGGCCCAGCTCCTCACGGGGTCCACAGGCCTCGGTGCTCGGCCCGTGTGTGGGGCCGCCCGAGCAGCTCCAGACGGCAGACCCAGGAGCCTGCACTGCTGGGCTTCTGGCCGGCACCGGGGGGTCAGGCTGGGCTCTCAGCCGAGACACTCACTCCTCCTACAGGGGACCCCAGTGTCCACGTGACCAGGCCGCCTGGCGGGCAACTGGGGTACGAAAGACCTCAGTCAGTAGCCCAGAGAGGTACACACGCCTGCGGACCTACAGGGCCGAATACGGTCCTACACTACAGGTATAAACACACGTATGCACACACTGCATTCGCACACCTACACGCAGGGTACACACGTACCCAAGAGGACACGTGTATATGCATGAAGTATACACCACCCCACACATCTCCTCACGCCCATCTGCAAACGCAGGCACAGAGTCACGCACATGCAATTACACACATCACACAGCTGACAGGCATGCGCACACATGCACACATATGTGAATGCACACACGGCCACAGGTATGCCCCCACACAACGACTCACACACAGGCATGCTCACGGTCATGCACAGGTCCATGTGAACACACGTGCACACACCCATGAGTGGGTGTGTAAGTGCACAGATAATCACATCCTCTCCACGGGAAAAATCTTCCTCCCTTTCCCAGTAGTGCCCCCTTTGGCAGACCTAGCTCAAGTCCCGTCTCCTCCAGGAAGTCCACCTCGATTTCCCACTGTCCAGAATCCCTAGCATCAGTGCCAGGCAAACTGTCCGTATGTATACATCCTTTCCTAGCGCCGCGTGTGTGTTTGTTTAATCCAGACTCAAAGTGGAGCATCCTCCCAGGCCTCCACCCCCACCCCCCACACACTCCCTTTGAAGATCAAACGAGACCCCTGTCCCCTCTCTGAGCCTTTGCTGTGACTCCCACTCAAACACGGCCCACCCACGGCATCCAAGAAGCCTTTGCCCTCTCCGCCGTGCCTGCCCTCTCCACCTCCTGTCTCGCCATCTGTGTGCACCTGCCCAGCCCGTCCACCACGCAACTCCTGGGAGGCAGGAAAGCCTGGCTCAGCTGGCCCCCCGCTGCGAGCTGGCGCCTCGGCTATGTGCCCCGAATGGATAATGAGCCGCAGTCCAATATGCAGAGAAGCCAGGCGGGCCTGCCTGGCGGGGAGCTGCGTTTTCCAGCCAGTGCAGCGTTTGGAGACGGACTCTTCTCGGCAACCTCTCCAAGGAGCCAGCGGGGAAGGAAGGAGGATTAAAATTTAATCCTATTGATCCCTCAAGGGGTGATAAGTCCTGGCTGCTCCTGCCAAAGGGCAGCTGAGGGGCCTCTGCCTGCCCAGCCTCCAGACCCTGAGGCTCAGCCACCAACCCAGCCACCACTGGGAACAGGCTCCCAACCCGGAGGACTGCGTCAGGGGGAAGTCTCCCCTCCCCTCTGCCATCCCTTCATGTGTTCAGCAAACATTAGGTGAGCACCTACTTCGTGCCAGGCACTGTGCTAGGTGCTGGGGACACAGCCGAGGGACGAGAGACCAAGATCCCTTGCCCTTGCAGAGCTTCCGTTCCCAATCAACAAAATAAGCATAAGATATGAGTCACATCCAGTAGGAGTGAGAGAGAGAGCCCAGCAGAGAGAGGGAGCTGTGCAGAGGGCACGGCCAGGGCAAAGGCCCTGAGGCAGGAGCACAGGCCAAGGGGCTGGGCAGAGAGGGATAAATGAATGAAAGGGCAGAAAGGGGGTCGGGGCAAGAGACGCAATGGTATGTCCATAGGTGGGGACTTGTAGGTAGGATTCTGTCTCCCCCACCAGAAAGAATTTGAGGTCACCAGTGTGTCCCCAGTGCCTGGAACAGTAGCAGGCACAGAGCAGGCACCTCACTACATAGCTGCTGAATGAATGAGTGAATGAATGAATGAACAGGACGTATGCAATGTACCTGGCACACCTGAGCAAGGATAACAATGCAACCAGCACTTACTTGGTGCCAGACACTGTTCTAGGGCACTACGTAATGAACTCTTTTCATCTCCATGCCACTGTTTGAGGTAGACACTATAATTATCCTCATTTTGCAGGTGAAAAACATGAGTCACAGAGCCAGGAAGTGATAGAAATGGGATCTGAACCCAGAGAACTGGCTAAAGTACACGTGGCCCTTTAGCTCTCCTATCATTATGATTATTATGTGTTACTTGGGGTGTGGGGCCAGGGTGTGGGGTGGGTGACCAGCCCTACAAGGCCCAACACACAGCTCCCAGGTCCCAGTAGGCTCAGTCTCATCCTGCAGCTATTGCTGCTTCAAGAGGCGGAGGCATAGCAAACTAGTTGATCCAGCAATTTCCTGCCTGGAGTTACAGCCACAAGTTCCAGTCACGTGTTCTCAGGCTACAGAGCAGCCCTAGCCCCATCCATACTTTGAGCACTGATCCAGCAGCCAAGAGCATATCTCACAGCAGAGACAGCTGGGAAGGGTGATCAGGAGCCCTGAGCAGGAGGGGGACCAGGGAGGCCAAAGCAGGGTGGAGAGGGCTCCCATCCATCACTCTTAACTATGTGACCTCAGATAAGGAACGGTCCCTCTCTGGCCTCAGTTTCCTTCCTCATCTGTAACACAGGGAGGGAACTCAACACTCACAGGCCCTGAGCACATCTGGAAAGAGTCTATTATAAATCATTGAAGCTAAGCTCTCAGTGGCTTGATTGGGATGATGGGTAACTCACTACCTCACCAGACATCAGGTTCCCCTTGAGGAGAGCTCAGATACTTAAGGACCAGTCCCTGAAGACATTCTGTTCTGGGTACCCTGAGCTCCTCCCCAGGACCGAACCCCCTCTAGACACCCAACAGCTGCCTTCCAAGGATCCTTAGGAGCCCCCACAGCCCGCTATAGATCCTGTGTCCAACCATCCCAAAAGCCCCGTCCAGGGCTAAATGTCAGCAGAGGCCAGTGCTGATGAATCAGGCCCAAGTCCTGGGATGGACCACGGGTTCAAGTCCCGGGTCCATCACTTCCTAGCTGTGTGACTTTGGACAAGTCACTTAACCTCTCTGGGCCTCAGTTCCTCCATATGTTAAATGGAAACGATTACTATAGGACAACTGCTATTACTGTTAACGATGATAATATTACAACTGTCTTTTGCATTACAGGAATTTCTTTGGTTTAAGTGCCTGAGTGACTACCCATCCCCCCACTGATCAGCTGGCCCCTGATGCCCTCCTACAACCTGCCAACTCCACTCCCACAGTGCATCCCACAAGCCAGCCATGGTCCACACCGGTGCCACATCTGAGCAGAACAGGCTGAAGCAACACCAAGACTGGTCTCTGCTGGTCACCCCTTCCCCTCTCAGTGTGTGTGCAGGGGCTCCTGAAGGCCCCCATGTCACAGGCGAGAACACGGAGGCCCGGGGAGAGAGCCAGATCCCTCAAGGTGACCCTGGCAGCCAGCACAGACCGGCAGAAGGTGGGGGGACAACGACAGCTACCCGGTTCTCGTCGTAGATGATCTGCACCAGGCTGCGATGCTTCGACTCGATGGGCGGCGGCGACACGGGCTTCTCGGGCTCGGGCGGCTTGGCGGCCTCCTCCTCCAGCTGTTGCTGTGGGAAGGAGAGGTGGTGAGCACCGGCAGGCGGAAGGAGGGGCGGCCCCGCGCAGCCTGCGCTGGTGGCCGCGCGCAGGAAGTCAGGCTGTTAACCATTTCCTCTGAGTCACCCTCAGGGACTCCAAGCCCTGGAGAGGCCCCAGCTCCCCCTGCAGGGAAGAGCCCAGCTGGCTTTCCCGGGTTCGATCCCACCTTGGGGACGTGGCAGCTAGGTGAGCATAAGCAAGCAGCTTAACCCAGCTGTGCCTCAGTTTCCTCGTCTGTAAAACGGGGTTTATCACTGTGCCTCCCTGACAAGGCTGCAACGAGGAAGGGACAGGCTAGTCCGTGAGCAGCGCAGGCTGGGGCTCACTAAAAGCCAGTTATTATCCGTCACCAGAACGACCGCCATCCTCAGGAGAGGCTGTGCAGCCTCTGGAGCCGGACTGTCCGGACGGGAACCCTCTTCCTACAATGTCCCTGTTGTGTAACCTTCTCTGGGCCTCGCTTTCCTCATCTGGAAAATGGGTACAACCAGTGTTCCACCCTGGCGTCGGCAAAGTGCTCAGCACCTTCTCATCATGCTCGCGTCGTCACGGCCCTGCGGTCTGCATACGGGACGGCCCCCAACCCCCACAAAGTACTTTCCTTCATGCTGCTGTCTGTTCGGTACCAAAAGGGAAAGTGAAGACCAGAGAGCTTAAGTCTCTGGCCCCAGGTCACACAGGCCAATGCACAGGAGTGCACTCTGACAGGGCATCTTGAGTGAGATCAGAATGCTGTTCTCTGCTCCTAACGCTCACAGAGGCTGCCTGTGACCATGGAGCAGGCCCGGTTATAAACCCAAAAAGGCCGCCAAGAGAGAGAGACACAGAAAATCCAGTTCTGGGTCCTGCTGGCACCAAGGCCTGGCTGGTGGACCCAGCTGCCTCGGTGCCACAGCGACCCCTGCTGGTGGCTTCCAGAAGAGCAACCAGCATCTGGCAAAGCATCAAAATCCCTCCAAAAAGTGTAACAAAAAAAAAAGGAGGCCACCCCCAAGTCCCACTCCTCCACATCAGTGACAGCCCCAGTGTTCTCCCTCCTCCTGTACATCCTTCAACACCCGCTCACGGGGCCCCAAGTGCTTCCACGAGATCTCTCATAGCCTTCGCTCCACCGCCCGTGGTGGCCAGGGTGGGCCCTCGACCCTACGTGGAGTCCACACTCCGTACCCGGGAGGCGAGGGGAGAAGACCATGACAAAGCGCACACGTGCTCATGCACGTGGAGGTGACATCCAGCGAGGTAACAGGACAGAGCGGGCAGCAAACTCTCCCTGTAAAGGCCCAGATGGTGAATATCTTCAGCTTCGCAGACCACAGGGCCTCTGGTTCAACCACTGGACTCTGATGATGGATTAGGACGGCACCCAGACGATCCGTAAGCCAGCGGACATGGTGGTGTGCCAATAAAACTTTATTTACAAAGGCAAGGCATTAAGCTGGTGAGGCTGGGTTTTCTGGGCCCCGGGACAGAGGGCTGAGGGGAGGGCTCCTATGAGGGGCGGGAAGGGGGCTATCGGTGGGGGGGACATCTGAGCAGAGACCTGAAGATGCCAGGGAGCGTCACATGTGAAGAGCGGGGAGAAGGCGAACTATCAATTAATTTTATATCAGTATTAAAAATGAAATCATAAAGTCAGCTTTATGAATATTCGTGTTAACTTTTTGGTTACAACAGTCACAAGGAGGGTTTATTTTCACAGCACGACCCTGTTCCCTCCTCACAACCTATGAGGGGGCGTCTTGTCTGTGCCCATTTTACAGACAAGGTAACTGAGGCAGAGCTGGAGGCCCGGCCCATTCAGATTCCGGAGCCAGGGGCCAGAGCTATGGATGAGGAAAGTGAAGCAGAGAGGCCCTGCCCACCCCGCATCACCAGGAAGTGGAAGAGATGAGCCTGAACCTGGACAGCCTGCTCTAAACCCTGAGCTCCCAGCCACTGCTCCGTGCCACCCAGTACAGAAGCCGCACAACATTTCAGGTGTACATTTCACGTCACTCAAATTACACTAAATTTAAAGCCCCGCTCCTCGGCCACACAAAGCACATTTCAAGTGGCCGACAGTCCACACAGCTGGCACAAAGAACGTTTGCGTCATCGCAGAAAGTTCCATGGGATGGCACAGCACCACATACAACAGCACCCTCGTCCAATAAACGTAAAGGACATAAAAACGAGCCGGCACGTGGACAGTGCTCAGCACACATTCACAGCTCCTAGGACCAGTACCATCGTCTCTGTCGTGGCTGCGGGACCAGAACCTCAGAGCCACGCCCCCTCCTCCCCTCCCCAGCCCCCCACCCCCACCCCCCGTACCTGCTTCTTCTTCAGCTTGGAGATCTGTTGCTCCACCATGGTGATTTCACGGTCCACCCGGTCCATGCTCTGAATCAGCTCCTCCTTGGAGAGGCGCGGAGGCACCAGCTCCAGCTCAGGGTCGGCATGCGGGGGGCTAGGGGGAGACACGGGCTCCAGCTTGCCCGTCAGGCTACGGTCCTGTGGCAGGGAGAAAATGGGCACGGGGTCAGCTCAGAGCACCTCGGCAAATGTTTTTGGCTTTGCTGGGCACAGAACCTCTGATGTCCTATTCGAACCGCAGCCAGACGACAGGTAAACCAACAGACACGGCTGTGTGCCAATAAAACTTGATTTACAAAAGCAGGAGCCCCAAGTTCCCAGCCCTGACGTCAGGCCCAGCACACCAGGCATCTGTCATGACAGCCCCACGTCCCAGTCTCGTGCCAGGGCTGCTGCCTACCGGTGCTACCCTCCTACCTTGTCCCTCGCTGCCCTTCTGCCAGGTGTGCAGCACAGGGCACATTCTGCCAAAGTCAGATCCTCTCTCCGGCAAGTCTTCCCAAGCTCCCCGCAAGTCCTGCAGCCTCCCCTCCCCCCTTTCCCCTAACAGGCCCCCCCATGTACCCCTCCTGGGCCTTCCCACCAGACCAAACTCCTCAAGAACAGGCACCACGACCCTCGACCTCCGCCCCCAAGGCCTGGCCCCGCTGATCCTCCGTGAACATTTATTCACGACACTCAGTCCGAACCAGCCACGTGGTGTGAACGTGGTTCCGCAGAGAAAACTACGAAAGCGGGGTACACCGTCGGCAGCGGGCAGAGGGGCCTCTCCACTGCTTCTGCAGTTCACCGTCTCCGCTTTTCCTTCACTGAGCGTCACTGTTACAAAGGTGCTTTTTCAAAGGTGCTAAACAAGGGGGCCCTTCGTTGGGTTACCCGTGGGCTCCATTCCACCAGCTAAAGTTTGTTAGCGCTGGCCCTGGCCGGTTTGGCTCAGCGGTTGGTGTGTCAGACTAAAGTTCATTAGCGCGCACCTTTAAGGCCCTGGGTTCGAATCCCCGTCCCCTCTGCCACTGCCCAGCTCCGTGACCTCAAGCAGATCACCCTCGCCCTCTGCCTCAGTTTCCTCACCGGCGCGGCAGGACAACCCCCACCTCCGGGCCTGCAGTGAGGCTCAGCTCAGAGCCTGCACTCTGTAAGCTCCATGAGCTCTGGCTGGACGGCCCGACCCTGGGACCCCGGCTCCAGCCCGGGCAGTGCAGGCGGGACCCAGCCCCCGCCCGGTGCCAACCTCAAGGCCAAGCCGGCAGCTGCGGGCAGGGCGGCCCCGCCCGGGAGGAGCTCGGGCTGCTGCTCCCCACCCCCACAGCAGCTGCAGCAGAGGACAGAGCATGCATTATTCCAGGGACAGCTGCAGCCGCTGCGGCTGCCAACGCCCCCCCACCCCGGGACGCGGGGACTGCGGGCACCTGACTCCCTCCTACACCAAACCAGAAGCAGCTCGTGTGTTCCGGCACCTCAGAGCCTTCGCACAAGCTGTGCCCTCTGCGGTGTGCCCGAGTCCTCACCTCCGTGCCCGCTGAAACCTCACCCACCCTCCCGCCACCTCCCCAGGCCCCCAACTGAGATCCACCACTACCCTCCGTGCCCCCAGACACGTGGGACTCTCCTGGCAGCCTCGTTCACTTCCCAGGGTTCCAGAGATGGAAGGTGGGTGGCAACATGGCTCCTGGACCCCAGCAGCATGATCTGCTGTAGCAAACAGCTAAACCGCCCCCCTCATCTCCCGCCAGGACCAGGAGAGAGATGAACAAGAACAAGGCTGTGGGTGGACAGGCTTTGGGGGCAGGACACCCGGAACTGTGAGCCCAACCTGGGAACCATTCTCCAAAGCGACCCTGGCAAAGAGAAGGTTTCGTCCCCAAAGCGGGCGGAGACGGCAGCGCGAGGGGAAGAAACAACTGGCAGCCGCCAGGAACCGCTGGAAAGGGTGACGGAGACGTCCCCGTGAACCCCGAGCAGGTCTCCCTCGGTGGGCTCCTCCTTCAGGCTCAGCTGTGATTCTCACCAAAACACACCAGGGGGTCAGTCGATGGCCGAAGAAATGACATGTGGTCCATCCACAAAACGGAATATGATTCAACCCAACACCAAAACCAAACAAACAACCCGAAGCGCTGCCACCCGCCCCCACGTGGACAAACCCTGAGGGGGGGGGGGCTGCTTTGCGAGGCCGACGCAGAGGCCGCGCAGTGTGACTCCGCTTACGGGAAACGCCCAGAACGGGCAGATCCACGGACACGGAACGTGGACCAGGGACCGGCAGGGGCCGGGAGAAGGGATTGGGGGGTGACTGCGAACGGGGACGGGGTGTCCTTTCTGGGGGGGCGAGGACGTCTGGAAGCTGGGGGTGACGGTAGCGCGTTATGAATGTACTAAACCACGGAACTGTTCGCAGCGAGTTCCCCGTCGTGAGTCTCACCCACTGTGGCTGAGAGTGCTGTGTCTCCAGTGCTGTGTTCCAGGAACGGGACGAGGGGCCTGGCTGCTGGGCCTCCACCTGGTTCTGAGGGCTGCTGCCTTGTCTCAGCCCCATGAAGGGAAACAAGGGACTGATACCCCCTCCAGCCGCCAGGTAGCAGCTGGACGATTCTCCCCACCAGAGGCCAACGGAGAGAGAAACACTGTGCGGGACTGAAGACGGACAGGCAAAGCCTGGAGCCGGAGAGGCGCCCGCCCCCGCCCCCGCCCCCGCCCCCGCCCCCGCTCCAGGAAGGGCAGGCCCGGCGCCGGGCACCGGCCCCAGGCCCAGGACAGCTTCCAGCTCCGGCACGGGCCCTCAGAGGCCAGGGGAGACCGCTCTGGGCGGGAAACGGGGCCACGGGCGTGGGAGGATGCAGGCCTAGCGAGTCTCACACACCACGGCCACGTGGACGGTGGCGGGGCAGGACCAAGAGGGCCAGGGACCCGGGCACACCGTGCCACCTGCAGGGAGCCACTGACCCCTGGGCTTCAGTCCTACGAGCCGGACTCCAGTCAGCCTGACGAGGGTTTTCTGTCCCTTTCAGCCGACAGGGCCCCAGCAAAGACGCCCAGGACAGCCCTGTCTAGGGGTCCCCGAGTCTCCTGAAACGTTCAGTGAGCCCAAAGGAAGCCTGTCGCCGCAGGGCTCCGGAGGCCCAGGGGCAGGGAAGGGTTAGGAAACGGCATTTTTATGTGAAAAAGGGACACAGCTGGGGGCTAGAGGGGTTAAACCCCCGCGAATTCCTGCCTTGAGCACCGGCTGGATTCCACTCGGCACCGCAGAGAACGTCGGCGGTTCCTTCCCGCGCCCAACACGCGCTCAGACTCTCCACCCACGTGCTCCCAACAGCCTGCAGCCGTTCCCACCCCCGGTCCCGAAGAGAACGGAGACAGACAGACAGACAGACAGAAACAGAGTCAGACAGACATATTCACATACCCAGGCAGAGGCAGACAGACAGACACACAGAGACAGAGGCAGGCAGACAGAGACAGAGGGAGAAACAGAACACAAAGAAATGGACAAACTAGGGCAGAGAGAGACACAGACACCCCGAGACACCCTCCAGGCAGAGAGAGGCAGACAGACGGGGACAGAGGAGAGGGAGCCGCGGGGAGGACAGGGACACGCAGCCGGGATCAGCCACGCGAGGTGTGGACCCTCAATAGCACCGCAGGCCCGAGGGCTCCAAGTCCCCCAAGCCCCCCAAGCCCCAGAGCTGGTCTGGGTGGCCAGAGACAACTACCAGCCGGTGCTCTGGGCAGACCAGACATGGGCGCGGGGGGGGGACCCACTGGGGGCTCTCGCCCCAGGGAGGAAATACAGCCTCACTGGCGTGGCCCTGTGCCCCCTTCACACACACCCCACTCTCCTGTCTGTCCAGGATCCGCCTTAGGGCCACGGGAGGCTGAGCGGCCAAGGCTACAGGGAGGAGGAGACAGACTCGGGTGCTGGAGGTGGGAACCAGCGGGCCCTGGGAGGAGGGGGCAGCAGCCCACGCGGGAGACCAGAGGGGAAGCCGCAGCAGGACAGCCTGGTGGGCAGGGCCGGGCGCCGGTGCCCCCGCCATGGCCACGGCTGAGCCCAGGACTCCGGTTATAAAAGGGAGCTGCAGGTCGGACTTCGTAGGGCTGAGAGGACGCCGCCAGCCAGCAGTCCTCGCTTAATGTGAGCTGGTCAGCACCACGGGCACCCTCGTGTGCCGGCTCCCAAACCAAGGCCCCGCCTCGGCCTGAAATCCCCTCGTCCAACCCCACCCGCAGCACGCAGAGAGGAGGACCCAGCACTTCCCTCCCCTGCCTGGCTCCCAGTCCCCAGCCCCCCCACCGGCGCTGCAGGAAGACGGGCACTGACCTCACCCGACAGCTGGGAGGCCGCTAATGAGCTAATGTGTGTCCCCGTGGCTGTGGAGAAGCTAATGGAACTGCTCGCACGCCCGGATGGGACATCCATCACGCGGCCAGCCAAGGACGAGCATGTCACCTGGCCACAGTCCCCGCCCTGCCCCGGGCAGCTGGGTGGGCCTGGGGGACAGAGACCCCTCAGTCGGCCTCGGCTGTGTACACGGAGGTCATGGGGCCTGCAGACTCCCGTCCTAAGCTTCGGTGACCAGCAAACCCCGCCCCCACACGGCAGACCACAGGCGCTCACTTCAGTCTTCGGCTCCCCTTTCTCTTTCAGAGAGTGAAACGTAAGAGCCCTCTCGGGCGCTGGGGGCATGTGGCTCCGCTCTGCACTCACTCGGGTGGGAGCTGTGACTCTCCAGCCAAGCAACAGCCCACAGAGCCAACCGTGTCCCTGACCCTCCTCTGGCTGCCCAATCCCTGCCCAGCCTTGGCCCAAGCTGTGCCCCTGCCCGGCATGCTTCCTCTCTCCCTGGCACACAACCCCATTGCAGCAGAAGCCAAATATCATCAGGAGCTCCCGGCGGGGGGCCAGGCCTTACCTTGGACAGGTCCTCAGAGCCCCCGGGCTGGCCAGCGGCCAGCAGGGGCGAGGGCCGCAGCAGGGGGTCAGGCAGCAGCTCGAGGCGAGGGCGCTTGCTGTCGATGAAGTCCATCTCCGACTTGCCTAGCTCGGGCAGGTACGAGTGGGACTCGGGTCGCAGGTGAAGCTCCTGGGACCTGTGGGAGGGAAGAGCACACGGATCATGTCTACTGCCCTCCCTGCTGGGCACCTACGAGGCGCCGTGCCCTCTACGGTCCTGCAGGAGCAGTGCCTGCCCGACCAGGCGCACAGGACCCAAACCCAGACTCGTCCTCCTACGAGTCAACCTTCACTGCCTACGTTTATGGGGCGAGAACGTATCCTGATTACGCACACCCTCACTCCCGAGTGTGGCTGGGGACCAGAGACATCAGAGAAATGCAGACGCGAGTCCCCCCCCAGGCCTGCTGAGTCACACTCTGCACTTAAACAAGATCCCAGGTGACTTGTGGGCACAACCCAGTTGGAAAAACACTATGAGTCTAACACAGACGACACACACATGGCGCCACCTGCACGTTGCCCACCGGGGCAGACATCACCAGCCGATCACAGCACCCTCGCTGCTAACCCTGGCCCGCCCTCCTTGTAACCCAGTTGCCTGGTGCAGAGAGAGGCGCTGTCCAACCTAATCTCTCCTGACTGGTTCTCCTTAACCCTCCTCCCCAGTTTGCAGAGGAAGAAATTGGCCCAGAGAGGACACAGCCTTGCCTGAGCACACACAGCAGAACCGAGATGCCCAGGTAGCCCAAACACCGCCCCCACTGAAACGCTTTTCAAGTTGATGCCTCTTCCAATAAACCTGGACCAGAACTGCTTGGTCTGGGCTGGTCCTTGCTCATCTGGCCCACTACATTCCTGCCTCAGGGCCTTTGCACTTGCCAGGCTTCTGGCTGGAACAATCACACTCCCTGCAGCTATGGCCCTTGGCGGTGGCCTCCCTGCGTGGCCCTGAGTGGCCTCCGGGGGGGGGGGGCACCACAGAGGGCTCAGGCCTGGTCTCCGGAGTTCTAATCCCAGAGAGATCGAAACACTGGCCAACCCTCCACCTCGCAGCCTCAGCAAGGTGACAGGGAGAGTTGATGGGACAGGTACTGGGCCAGGCCAGCCTCAGCGGTCCCTCAGGGCCGCAGCAGGGGGTCAGGCAGCTTAGGCCCTACAAGCGCTCTGCACAGCCTGAAGCATCTCAGAATGAAGTTATATCCTGTCCTTCTGACCTCAAAGCCCATTCGCCATTTCCATGATGCTCGCCCTCCTGCCCCCAGTCACCCCCTCCCTCCCGCCAGGGGCCTCCGTCTTCCTGGGACACTCCCGACACGTTCACACCACCAGGCCTTCGTGTGGGCTGTTCCCCCCTCTTGCCTGCCTCCACCCAGCTCTCTGAACGGCCAGCGACTCAACCAAGAGCCCCTCCTCCGAACAGCCTCTCCAGCCACCCCAGCCCAGCAGCCCATCCCCACCCTGTAGGTGGCAGGTCATGTGTCACGTTCTGGAGTCACCGTGTGAGGGGGCACGTCTCCCTGCTGGACGGTGGGCCCCGTGAGCAGGGCTGTCCGTCTAGATCCCTGCTGTGCGCCCAGAGCCTGGAATGGGCCGGCCCACGTCCATGCTCAGGACAGAAAGGTGCTGTTATCGTCTCGGGCACTGGGGCCCTGCTCCGCCCTCGGCCTCCCCTCGCTGGGCCCGCGCTGCCACACGGGAGAGCCCGGCTGGCCCAGCCGCAGGCAGACACCAGACGGCCTCACCTGCCAGGTGAGGCGCAGAGAGAACGCAGAGGAAAGGGGGCTCCCTGTGGGCACCCAGGTGTGGGCACATCCTTGCAACCAGCGACCCAGCCCGCTCCCCCATGTCTCAGTGGTCAACCCTCCTGCCTGGGCCGCACACCCAGAGGGCACGGGAGACCCACGGCAGCAGGTCCGAGGGCCACGTGGTTCTCCCCGCGTGTCCCACCTTTCCCAGGATGGGGCAGGGCACACGGCCCGACACCCAGCGTCACCCGACCGGCGAGCTCCCGCTCCTCGGGGCCTCTCCTCACCTTTCATTCCCCGGCTGGAATTCGGACAGCAGGGAGGGCCGCCGCCTCTGCGGCTGCAGGATGGAGCCCGGTGACAGGTGCGCGGCGTAGTCGCGGGGGTGGTGCTGGTACTCGAGCAGCCCGACGTCCTGCAGCGAGGGGACAGACGGAGTGAACGCAACGCGGGGCCACCCGCCTCCTCGCCCAGCCCTCGAGGCCCCGTGGCCGAGGGACTCCCGGGGCCTCTCGCCAGCGAGAAGCGACGCCCGGCTCAGCCCTCACCTGGCTCGGCGCACCCGCCGCTTCCCAGATGAGACAACCGAGTCAGCTGTTAGGTCCGTGCAGACAGGGAGGGCCTGTCTGTGAGGCGCACACCCCAGGCTCCGAAACAACGGGGAAACCCGCACACGTGTGACACGTATGTAAACAAAGGTCAAAGTCCGAAGGATAAAATCCAGGCAACACCCGCCTCCTTTAGTGAAATGCCATTCATTATCCATTATCATCCAGGGAAAACTGAACACTAACACAGTAGGCACACCCTGATTGTCCAATTTTTTAAAAAATATATGTTGTTATTGACTTTTTAGAGAGAGAGGAAGAGAGAGCGGTAGAAACATGTGAGAGAGAAGCATCGATTGGCCGCCTCCTGCACACCCTCTACTGGGGATCGAGCCCACAACCTGGGCACGTGCCCTGACCAGGAATCGAACGGGGACCTCTCAGTCTATGGGATGGTGCTCAAACCACTGAGCCACACCAGCCGGGCCCGATTGTCAAGTTTTAAAGACAGACTGAAACACGTCCCCCAAACGAGAAAACGGGGACAGGCTAGGTCGCACACATGCACCACTCCAAATCGATCGGTTCTGTCCGCCTCGAACACGCAGGGAGGCTGTGTGTGTGTGGCCATCGATTAGCGATGTCTGACACGGGTGAGGCTGCGGCCAGAGTGGGCGCGCCGGTGATTTCTCTCCCTCTGGGCACCTCTCTTAATTCTCCCAATTTTTTGTAAAGACTTAGTCATTGTTCTGCTCTGTGGCTTATTTACTCCAGCAGTTGTGTCTGCAGAGAGTCGGACGGCACCGGGGAGCTGTGCTGAGCACGTGTGAGCGTCAGACCCTCCCGAGCAAGCATGTCGGAGCCGGGGAGCCTGAGCTCGAGGCTGAGAGGTGGCATCAGTGGGACCCCGCCACCCTCAGGGGCTGCTGGGAACGGGCGGGAAGGGCCGTCCAGGGCAGCCCGACCTGGACACCAAGCTGCAGGGCCCCTCACATCCGCCAAGCCCATCCCCTCGTCTTCGCCACGGTGACTGGCCCTCTGTGCCTCTACTCCGATCCCCTCGACTTAACCAAGGACCTCCCACGGCTGAGGGCAGCCCCCCGGGGCAGCAGGGCTCCTCCTCCCCCTGCCTCGGGGACTTGGAGCTCAGAGCCCAGGCCGCAGAGGGGAGGAAGGAGGGAGCGGGGTGGGGATCACCGTGCTGCCAGGCACATCTCCCGCACGCAGAGGCGTGAGAAGGGTCAGCGAGCCGTGCAGTCTGCCAGGAGTACGTTTCTCCCACCGGCTCTTCACACTAAAGCCAAATGAGCAAAGCCCGTCCCTCGGGAGAGGACCCGGGTAAGACGGTGCCAACCGTGGGGGTGCGTGGGGCCCCGCGGCGGGGGCGGGAGGCCTCTGCGCCCGCTCTCTGGCCTCAGTCTCCCAGGTCAGGAGCCAAGAAGGATGAGCTTGTCCCTCAAAGCGGCCTGTGAGGGGCCCCTCCTGTCACGTCCCCACTAATCCCCACCCCAGGGCCTAAAGCCAGTCTCGGGGCCAAGACCAGGGACCCCCGAGGGCGCCTGGAGGCTCTACAGGAAGGTAAGAACTGGGGAGACCCCCAAGAAAGTCTGACAGAGGGTGGGGCTCGCTGGGTCACCTGTATGCCTCCCACCAAACGCTTCATATACGTTAATGAATTCAATCTCTGTGGCAACCCCGAGGCCCCACAAACATGAGAAATCCGAGTGGCTGGCCTGGGTCCCACGGCAAGGCTGGGGAGGTTCTGAGGTGCATGAGGGGGGCTACGCCAGGAAAAGGGCTCTCCACATGGCCAGGGTAGGAGAAGGGGTGCTCCTCTCCCCACAAAGTGCTGAGGAAACACCTGGAGCAGGTAAGGGAAGAAGTCAGTCCATCCGCAGACCCTGGACTCAAGGAGCCCTGCTCAGGGACCTTGCTTGCTGGCCTCTGGACACACTTCCGCCAGATTCCCACGCGCCTGGCCTGCAGCTTCCGCCAATGTCAGCTTCTCAGTGAGACCGCCTTTCCTGGAGCCCCAGTGTCATGAGGACCCCCACAGCAGCCCCTCCCTCCCCCCGCTCACGGATTCCCCACTAGCACACCAGCGCCCTGAGGCTGGGATGCTGTTACTTCGTGGCCACATGCCCAGGGCAGAGAAGACACCTGGGAAGTGTCTGCTGAGTGAAGGGTGACTGAAGAATGATGAATGAATGATGGATAAACGAATGAAGGATGAATAAATGAAGAATGAATGAAGAATGAATGATGGATCAATGAAGAATGAGTGATGAATGAATGAAGGATGAATAAATAAATGAATGAAGAATAATGAATGAAGAATGAATGATGTATAAATGAAGAATGAATGATGAGCCCTGGCCAGTTTGGCTCAGCGGTTAGAGCATCAGCCTGCGTCCCGAGAGACCCAGGTTCGGTTCCCACTAAGGACGTGTACCTCGGTTGCAGTTTGTCCCCGGCCCTGGTTGGTCGTGCGGGAGGCAGCCACTCGATGTGTCCCTTTCACGTCGATGTTTCCCTCTCTCTCTCTCTTCCTCCCACTCTACCTGAACAAAAAAATGTCCCCCAGTGAGGATAAAAAAAAAAAAAAGAATGAATGATGAAAGAATGAATGAATAAATGAAGAATGAATGGATGCTTCCAGCCCACAGGATCCCCAGAGGCTCGCTCTGGGAGGCCAACACATCCCGTTAGAGCCGACCCCGAGTAGGGGGGGATACGGTTCAGGGAGAGACCACCCCAGGTGGCACTCAGAATACGACAAAGGATCCAGCCCTCCAACCCACCTGCCCCCACCCGTGTGAGATGCCCCTCGCCCAGATGCCGCCTGCTGGACCAGGTGGGCGCAGACGACTGCGCGCCCAGACCCCTTAAACACATCAACACGACCGCCATGTCCAAGCGCACCGCCGGCAGGCATCCTACGGCCCCCGTGTCCAGGAACTGGGTCCCGCGCAGTAGGGCCGCGCTATCAGCGTGTGACAAATTGGAAGTTAAACAGATGGGTGTTTCCCGCAGAGTTTGATAAGCACTGATCCAGGGCAGGAGTCAGCAGCGAGCCCAAGGCCAAAGCCAGGCTCTGCCGGTCCCTCACGTGTCGCTGGCTCCCGGCCAGGGCCCGGGGCTGTGGCCTGGCATCTCAGCTGGGCTGCTTTTGCTGAGGAGCTGGGACAGAGTCGCAGGCCCGAGCCTGGAACACCGAACTATTTACAGAGGAGGTCAGCCCCCTCCCCTGGGAACCATGTGCCCTGGGCGACGTCACATCAACACCGCCTGCGTCACTGCACCACAGCGGCCCCCTCTGTCCGGCCTTCGGCGACGGCCCCTGCATGTGTCCACGGACCTGACGTCGCCGTCTCCCAAAGACCCCCGGTCAGGAAGCAGCATCCTGCCCCCGATGCCCAGGATCCCGGCTCCTGACTTCCGATGACAAGCACGGGCCCCTGGCTAGGCCACCCTGGCAAGAGGCAGATGGCCCGGGGGCAGGGCCCCACCACTGCTGCATGCGGGATAGGGACGCCCACCCTGCAGCTGCCAGGACCCCCTGCCTGGAGGGGGTGTGACCCCTGGGTCCTGTCCAGCCACATCCTGCGTCACCACGGGCCCAGCAGGCAGAGAGCAGGAGATGTCTGAGGTCAGCTGATGACCCCAAATGACCGGAAAGGGCCTAGCCAGGGCAAAGGGCAGGAGGGACACGGGGAAGGCAGTGGCTATTGGGACGAAGGCGTCCCCAAGGCTGGGCCTGTGGGAAGAGGTGGGGGAGTGTGAGCCCAGCAGGGAAGGACATGAAACAGGAGAAGCCAGGGCATGACCAGGGACCCCTGGAGGCAGCCCCTCCAGACAGCTCACCGGGTCCATAACAAGTCCCAGGACAGGAGGTGGACACAGAGGGCTGAGCGTGTGCGGCCGCTGTCCTGAGCACTGGTCACAGATCATCACGTCTGGTTCCAAGAACCAGGAGGCGGGTACTCTCACGACCCCACTTCGTGGACGCAAGACGGACACTCAAGGGGCGGCCTGCCCGGCCCCCTCCCCTGCACGATGTCTGCCATCTCCAAAGCGGGGCGTGAGGGCCCCCGGGTGGCCAGGAGGCAGGGGCACTGGACTCACACTGGGTCCGAACACAGTGCTGCCCTGCAGGACGCGCTCAGAAGACGGGAGCTCATCTTTGTTACCCTCCTTGTGACCGGGACAGTGTAGCAACCCGTGACCCCCACTCACCGGAAGCCTGCCCCTCTGCCAGCACATGACCCGTGACCCCCACTCACCCGGGGCCTGCCCCTCTGCCGGCACACGACCCGTGACCCCCACTCACCCGGGGCCTGCCCCTCTGCCGGCACACGACCCGTGACCCCCACTCACCCGGGGCCTGCCCCTCTGCCGGCACACGACCCGTGACCCCCACTCACCCGGGGCCTGCCCCTCTGCCGGCACACGACCCGTGACCCCCACTCACCCGGAGCCTGCCCCTCGCCAGTGCACAGCAGGGGCCCAGTGAATGGGGGTCGCTGCCCTCTCAACCTGATGTAACCCCGGACCCAGGTCCCTTACAGAAGGTGGGACAACGGGAGGTGCCCTTCACTGAGCTGTTGGTGAGGTTCGTGGCTCCGTCCAGGGGACAGGGACAGCTCATGTAACAGCTCCATAGCGTGCCAGCTCCAACAGGCGTCCCGGGGACCCTCAAGAGGCCGCTGTCCGGGGCACCCCCGGGCTAGGCCAGTGGGTTCACAGGTGAACGCACTTCGAGAACTGGTGGCAATGCCCCAGCGTCATCCCCTGTCTCACAAGGAGGCCACACGGGACAAGCAGGACACACCCACACCCACACCCACACCCACCCCGGCCAGCTACCCAGCTGTGACCGAGGGGTCGTGCTCCACACCCAGCAGCCAGGAGGCCAAACGGGGAAGACAGGAGACCCCGAGAGCCCTCTGGCAAGCACCCGAGGACACAGTCTACAGGAGGTGCCCAATAAATGCCAACAGAGCAGAACCAAAGGCCCATGCTCAGGCAGCTGGAGGTGAAGGCAGAAAATGGGGCCCCCACCAGGAGACGGCAGAGGGGGTGCAGCCTAGGAGAGCTGGTCACGAGGGCACAAGCTCCCCCACAGGCAGGTCGACCCCTCAGCGAACAGAACCACCGCCCCGGACCCCCATCGGGGATTCAGAGACAGGACACGTGCCGGACCTCACGGCCCCAGGGCCGCAAGCATCTCCACAGGAAGAAACTCCAGGGCCGAGGATCGGGGGGGTGGGGGGCAGCCAGGGAAGGCCGCCAGGAAGACCTCCCCCCCAAAGCCAGCTAGGAGGGAGCCCAGGTGAGGCTGGCCCGTGAGGAAGGCATACAGCAGACGCCCCATGTTTGCACGCAAATTCCTCTGCAGACGCTGACAGGCAGACCCCAGCTCAGCAGCCCGTCTCCAACTTCCCAGCTTTAAAGTGGGAGCCGATTCTACCAAATGCCCAAGGCCACGGAAGGCCACGGATGCCCGTGGTGGCTGCCCAGGCGCCCACCCGCCCTTAGGGACACATTGAGCCACCCAGCCCTGACCCAGAGGAGAGGGAGCGGGGCGGGCACTCGGGCACCCCTTACCGTGTGGGACCGGGCGATCTGCACCGGGTAGGAGATGCCATGGGGTGGGTAGCGGGGCTCGGTGGCCCTCCACGTCTGTGCCACGGGCTGCGTGGACCCCGACATAGCGGTGGTCGTCCGGATAAGCTCCCTCTCGACGGCCACCGAAGATTAAAGGCCAGTCCTCGTCATCTGCTCGCGGGCAGCCCCGTCACAGGCACCTGGGAGAGAAGCATAGAAGAGGCGGGGTCAGCCGCGGAGCCCGAGGCCTCCCTGGGGCGCCTGGTCCCGAGTGCCCCAGCCCACAGGATGTGGTGCAGGAGGGCCACTGAGCCACGGGCCAGGCCAGCAGCTGCCCACCAGCCCCGTCAGGGAGGGGGGTGCCCTCCCCCTGCCAAGGCCCTCGCTCGGCAGGTGCAGGGATCCAGCCATGTGGGCACTGCACCCCCAGCCCCCAGGGGTCCCCGTGCTCTCAGCCCACCCAACCTTTCCCCATGGAGCCCCAACTCTGTGGGCACTGCCCTCACTACCTCCGGTGGCTCCCAAGCCCCCTGGCCCCCCAGACCTCACGCAGAGGCCTCTGCGGGTTTCTGAGTCCCCGGGCAAAGGTCTCCGAAAGCAGCCGACGGGCTGTCCCGAGCAACTGGCCAGGCAGTGGTGGATGCTGTCCGCCCAGGCAGGACACAGGTCACAGAGTGACCCCAGATCAGACCAGGCCTGCCTGGGCCCCCCGGTGACCCTCCCAGGAGGGTGGCCCTCTGACGTGGGAGCAGGACACAGGGGGTGGCCCACACTCGAGCTGGGAGCAGGAAAAGGGGACACTGAGGGCCACACTGGAGAAAGAGCCGAGGACGTAGAAGACGGCCCCTGGGTCACAGAGGCTCCTGGGAAAAGAGCCCTGTGTCCACGCTGGGAAGGGTCCCAAGAAGCATCTGCTGGCCTTACAGGCGGGAAGCTGAGACCCAGAAGGAAGAAAGGAATTTGACGGGACACTACTGAACCCAATCCAACAGGTGCTCAACAAACACTAGCTTTGTTCATCTGGCACAGTGAACGGTGAGCCGGGCTCGGGGCGTTTCCCTCGGGGCGGCAACCTCCGCGCCTAGCATGGGACCAGCAGGACAAACTCGCCCAGATCGGTCAGTCTGCTCAATCAGTCAATCATTGTGGCATCTACGATGTGCAGCCATGAACCAGTCAGACACAAAGGCCTGCCCATCAGAGCTGACATCCAGTGACGGGCCTGTCCCAGCAGAGAAAGCCCCCAGCTAAGTACTCAACAAGGGATGGATGGATGGATGGATGATGGATGATGGATGGATGATGGATGGACGGACAGATGGGTTGGATAGATGAATGGGTTGGATAGATAGATGGATGAATGGATGTGGATAGGATGGATGAATGAACAGACAGACAGATGAAATGAATGAAAAGGACAGAAGGATGGATAGGATAGATGGGATGGACGGAAGAACAAACGGGATAATGGATGGATGGATGGATGATGGATGGATGGATGGACGGGATGGACAGATGAGATGAATGGATACATGGATGGATGGATGATGGATGGATGGATGGATGATGGATGGATGGATGGATGGATGGATGGACGGGATGGACAGATGAGATGAATGGATACATGGATGGATGGATGGATGGATGGATGGATGGATGGATGGATGATGGATGGATGGATGGATGGATGATGGATGGATGGATGGATGGATGATGGATGGATGGATGAAGGATAGATGGATGAATGGATGGATGGATGGATGGATGGATGGATGGATGGATGATGGATGGACGGACAGATGGGTTGGATAGATGGATGGGTGGGATAGATAGATAGATGAATGGATGTGGATAGGATGGATGAATGAACAGACAGACAGATGAAATGAATGAAAAGGACAGAAGGATGGATAGGATAGATGGGATGGACGGAAGAACAAACGGGATAATGGATGGATGATGGATGGATGGATGGATGGATGGATGATGGATGGATGAAGGATAGATGGATGATGGATGGATGGATGGATGGATGGATGAATGGATGATGGATGGATGGATGGATGGATGGATGGATGGATGATGGATGGATGGATGGATGGATGGATGGATAAAGGATGGATGGATGGATGGATGGATGATGGATGGATGAAGGATAGATGGATGATGGGTGGATGGATGGATGGATGGATGATGGATGGAGGACAGATGGGTTGGATAGATGGATGGGTTGGATAGATAGATGGATGAATGGATGTGGATAGGATGGATGAATGAACAGACAGACAGATGAAATGAATGAAAAGGACAGAAGGATGGATAGGATAGATGGGATGGACGGAAGAACAAACGGGATAATGGATGGATGGATGGATGGATGGACGGGATGGACAGATGAGATGAATGGATACATGGATGGATGGATGGATGGATGGATGGATGGATGGATGGATGATGGATGGATGGATGGGATGGACAGATGAGATGAATGGATACATGGATGGATGGATGGGACAGAGAGATAAACAGATGGGATGATGGATGGGTGGGTGGATGGATGGATGGACAGATGAAAAGACAAATGGATAGACTGACAGATATCCATTTAACTGTTCCATTTTCCAGGGGAGGTTTTTTGGTCTCATTTTTTAAGCCAACCCCCAAGGCCAAGTGTGCCTTCATTCCACTAATAATCCCAGGCTGGGTTCCCTACCAGGCTCCATGGGGAACACAGATGAGCCCCATCACCGCAGGAGCCCCCAAGCCCCAGCCTGCTGGGCACAGAGGACCCTGGGAAACCACCTCCAGCCCGAACTCTAGAGTCTGACCAGGGAGGGGCTGCGGGAAGGATTCGCTGAGAAAAGCGCTACAGACAGCTCCTGGCCCAGAGAAGGGTTCGAGAACTGAGGGCCGTGGCCACCACGACGCGCCGCTCGGGACACTGGAGGGGGCGCAGTAACCGAGTCACTATTACTACCCCCACCTCGCAGGCGAGCAGACAGGCCGGGTGAAGGAACCGGCCAAGTGACAGAGTTCCTAATGAGAAGGTCACCCTGGCGGGGAGATCCATCCTGAAGACAGAGCACCTCGCTTCCAGGGGGTGAGCCGGGGCTCCCAGGGTCTGCACACCGCGAGGAGGGGCCGCCACCTCGCTGGATCCCTCTGCCCACGGGGTCCGGGCATCTGGGGAGGTGGGCACTGAGACCTGAGCAGAGCCACCTCAGGCCCTTGAGGGGAGCAAACACCAAGGGTCGTGGGGAAAACAGATCCAGGTTCAGGGGGACGACCAGGTCCCGGGACACAGGGCCACCGCCACGGGGGGCCCTTCCACCCCGATTCCACCTCATGCCCTCCCAGGCCCCTCAGATCCCCTCGCTATCAGGATGCTGGACCTCGGCCCCGGGCACCACGCGGGGAGGCTCCGACGTCCCTCACCGGACACGATCGTCCCACTCGGAAGAACGGGACACCCAGGCTCGGAGAGACACACGGATGCCCGAGATCACACGACCACAAAGCCACCAGGCTTGATGCCGATCCCGGAAACCACGGGCCCTGAGCCCCCTCCGAGGCGAGCAGAAGGGCCGCTGCGCTGGTTGGAGCCGCCGGGGGGCCCGTTTGTTTCCAATTTAATTGGTACATTTGTGTCTGCTGGACAGCAGCCAACACGCCCGGCCCGGCCCCCCCCCACGGGGATCTGTTCAAAATCACTTCCTCCTCGACTTCTTTTTCCCCCCGTTTAATTTTAAAAGGAAGAGAGAGAGAGAGAAACCACACCACGACAAACCCTCCCCAAACCCTCCCCGCACACAGGTCACAGGGTCCGCAAGGGCCCCCCCGGGCGTTTCCCGCTCTCCCCCCCCCCCCGCATTGTGCTCTGGGCGCCCCGGGGGGACGTGTTTCCCATTAGCCCCAGCTCCTCCGTCCTGTTTTCCACACAGCAATTCTCCCTGCAGAGACAGCAGGACACGGAAAGAAGCTGATGTCTGGGGGGCGGAGGGGGGACCCTGGCACCAGGTGTGTGACCTGGGCTAACTGCTTAACCCCTGCCCCGGGGCCGGGGACGGAGGCAGATCGCGTCCCGCTCAGCTGCGCTGCCCTCGGTGACCCTGTTCTTCCCCCAGGACGCCGGGTTTCTGACGGCTCACCCGCTGGGGCCTTGGTCCATCCACCCCACTGCCCGGATGGGGAGGAACCAACGCCCGGGGGGCCACGGGCCACAGATCACGGCCCTGACGCGCTGCCGAGTGAAGGAGCAGACAGGGGAGGATGACACTGGGTGATTCCGCTCACGAGCCTCGAGTCAGATTCCCAGGGCACAGAGCAGAAGGGAGTTATGGGGCGGGGGGGGGGGGGGCCGTACTGAATGGAACTGAGTCCCAGGTTAGCAAGAGGCAAACATCCTGGAGATGACGGCAGAGGAGGTTGCACAACAATGGGAGTGTGCTGAACACCCCGAACTGTGTGCGCTCTTGTCAAGTGTATGCTGCCACAATCTAAACAGTAACACAACTAAACCTACCACACACCTCCTCCAGGGAGGCCTCCCGGGTTGCTAGCCACCAGCACCCAGCTGGGCTTGTGTTGCTGTGGTGGTTCCCTCCCCCAGGGCTGCCCTATGAAAGGTCTTGCCAAGGGTGCCACCAGGGGTCCCTGCATGCAGCACCCCCTCAGTCAAGGGCTCCAGGTGGGGCCCTGGGCCACCCTCTTGGCCAGTTGTCTGCATCACTCGCGTCTCCTGCTGAGACCCCAGGGGGAGGGGCCGGGCCTCAGAATGGAGGGGAAGCCGCGGCCCAGGTTCCCGCCGACCTCCCTGCACCAACATCTGGCCACTGTGTCCACAGCTGTGAGCTGCCGGAAATGCCTCCTCCCGCCCCCTCCTCCAGGCACGAAGGCCCCGGAGAACTTCGTGAGGAATTTATGGGGTCGTCCGGAGTATTTCAGGGCAGGTCTCCAGAGGACCTCGGCCACACGTGAACAAGAACGAATGTTCCCGCTGGTAAGAACAGCTTCGCCCACAGCGGCATCGCGGGCCTGGAGCCCACCCACCGGACAGCGGCCCTCGCGGGCAATCCCCCTCCCAACCCCCAGCAAACCAACAGCTGGGACCTGAGGGCCCGCCTCCCACAGGCCTGGCCCCTGCTTCTCCGGGTTCCCAGGCCGTGGGGAACGGCCCGCTCGGACCAGCTGGGGCCAGAGC